ATCTTTGCAATCTAAACGATCTATTTTTCTTATAAGAAAACAATCAATCTGAGTTTTATTATCTCCATTCCTATAAATGATGAGATGCTCGTCTTTTTTCTTAAATAAGGTATTAGCAATTACAAAATCATAAGCTAGAGCAAAATTTAATAAAGTCTTACTACTTTCATTAGTCTCTCCAAACCATACATCATGAATGCTATTAAAATCCTCAACCTCTTTACAAATATGTCAAGTTAAATCTCCTATTTACACTAGTTAGAAAATACATGTCATATCCTTACTGATAATAGATGGATTCAAAATGAGTCATAGTGATATTTTCGATCAGACAATTACTCTTTATGAACTAAAGTGATTTTCAAACATGTTCATCTCAGCAAACTGTTACAGGAGTATATAGGTATTTTTTTAAGTATTTAATGATTAATTTCAATTTTAAACATTGAAATTATTCATGAATAAAGAGTTTGGAATCTTTGATAGGTCTTTGAAAGTTAACTCTTCCAGTTGAGATTTATATTCAACACAGCCATCATCGAGGTGATGCTGAAGCAGATTTGAATGTATTTTATAGTAATTTGGGAGGCATTTTTAATATTTACGATCCCTTCTATTGAAATTTTATGTCAATATGGTCATCATCAAGTGACATCAAAATCATTTTAAATACTTATATTTTACATGAATTTGGGAGGCATTGCAAATATTTGGGGTCCCCTGCGATTGAGATTTTTCTATCATGATCATCATCAGGGTAATATTAAAGTCAATTTTGAGCAATTTTGCTTCATAAGTTGAACCTTATCGACTCTGCCTACTTGCCGATAGAGGATCATATTCGTTGTCGGCTTTATGCCTTTAATAGTGAATCTTTCTTGTAATAGATTTTGAAAGCCTAATATGAACGTATAAAATAAATATCACAATCGGCGTTACAACCGTATATTTATTTGATGGCTCAAGCAGTATCGACTCTATCTAACATAGAATGACCAGACTCGAACTTAAGTTTATTTCTTGACCCACACAACATCCTCAAATGTCACATGTGTGCATACGCCACGCTTGTCGGGGCCCATACGGGTTATATTCTTTTGCATGTATTTTGCATAAAGTGCTTGTATGGTAGTCGTATATATGCAATAAAATAGGTGTATACAATGCATATACACATTCACACACACACTTATACTTTCATTTGCATGTTAACTTACTCATGTATACATTTGTGTATTTGCATGTGTGCATGTATATTAATATGGGTATTTACATCTTGCATGATGTGTTTATGATGCATGTATTTTGCATGCAACGATGTATATTCATATGATACATTTATATGTTAGGTGAGGATGCATTCAACATGTCTACTCATTCCTAAATACATGCAGTTATAATATGTACACTTGCATAGTATATTATGTACGTTGGAGCATATATATGCATGAGGTATTTTGCATATTAATGCGATGTGTCAGCGCAACGTCACGTATTTTGCATGTTGGGTGATATGTTCGCATAATATGTTCTGCATTTTGTAATGCATGTATGTGTAATACATTTTGCATGCAAATGTAATGCACTATTGTAACGTAATGCATCTTGCAATGTTGGATGACATGGTTTAATGATATATTCTGCTTATTGCTATCCATGTGAGAGGGCACTTTAAAGTTTTTAACACTGATCAATTTTGTGAATGATTATCATTTGAGTGTGTGCAACGTTCTTATTTAGAAGCATGTAGATGCCTTCTATCCACTTGTACGAGTGTTGCGAATCCGATGGTGTAGCGCTACGCTATGAGCTACTCATCGCTTATTGCAAGTAGGTTTTCATGCAGCACTAAATTTTTGTTGGCAACATGCTTCTTTGAAGAGCCCATGAACGCCTTATGTCTGCTTGCATGAATGTTGCGGATCCAGTGGCATGACGTTGTGCTTCATTCATTGTGCACCAGCTATGCAATTTAGTTCATTATGTCTTATGCAAGTAGTCATTTTCTACAGTATTTAGCCTGTGGGAGTGTGATTCAAAATGCAAACAAGTTGTACGATGCATCGAGAGCCTTCCACCTGTCACTTGCAACTAGACTGATTTATTTAGTGTGACAGTTTGGCATCGCACATTTACTTCCTCAATTTATCAGTGGCTACAATGGTTACTATTGATTTCCTATTTTTTCCTTATAGGTTAATCATAGTGTTGCACTACGGGTCATATGTGACTTTATATGGGTAGGATATCACACAATGCAAGTTTTGTTGGCACTACTTGTGGTCTAGTGTTAGGTATTTAGGGCCACTTACTATCGTATGTAGGCGAACAGTGTTCAACGTGAATCTCTCAGCATTGCTTGTAGATAGTATATTGTGTACATAATGAATCTCCTGCAATGTATCGTAGGTGTTTGCATTTATTGTATATCAATTGCCATTGCTTGCAGGGGATTAGTGCCTTTGCTCGACGCTAAGTTGTTGATTGCAAGAGTGCAAGGGTGTCGTAGCATTCATTGTTTGTTACTTGTTATCACCCGAAAGAATGTTGTTGTGCATATAACTAATCTTCAATCATTGCTAGTAAATATTCACATTTATCATGCGGTGCAATGTGCATGTTTGCAAGAGGCTATATTGTTTGCATGTGAGTTGGTGCATTACAATTTCCTTGCTTGTACTTTCACCGCAATCTCCTTAGACACACCCATAGGAAAATTGATCAGTGTTATGGAACAAATGAGAAGTTTCATTAGCTTGAAATGATATCCACCAGAAGTCCCATGTTTGTTTAATGATTTTTATTTGAATGATCCAGGTTGTTATTTAGCATATGTATCTTCGTTATGATTGTGCATTTATTAATTAAAAGTCTGGTTCCCTATTTATTAATTCAAGTTCTATTTCTTGTAGTCCTGATGAATTCAAGTCCCCCTGTAATTTATTTAAGTACTATATATTTTTATTCTGAATTTCAGTTGCCTCCTGACATATCCCCCATTTAAGAGATATTTGGGGAGTCTTAGCCTGTCCACCACGTCAAGAAAGACATGCATGGTCGATGTCAAGTAACACCGTCGTGGTCTTCAATCCCACCACACCAAGAAAGGTGTGCATGAGTCTTCATCGGTACCTGTTTGAAAATGAGTAGTTTTTCCCCAGAGGCACTTACATGGATACTTAAGTTTTACCTTGACAGTTCGTTAGGGATGTTAGGCCCTCTTGAACTTAGTCCCAAGCTAATTAAAGAGAGAGGTGAATTGGGAAACTTTAAAACCAAAACACAATCCGAATCACCACAATAATAAATGCGGAAATTAAAACGCGAAAGTAGTAAAAAGAAAGAACACACCGGATTTATAGTGGTTCGGTCAAACCTTGACCTACGTCCACTCCTTGGAGGCACCCCCCAAGTATTGCACTAAAAAACGTGACTCTCCTTTAGCCCCCACGGCTAGGCGGAGAAGCCCTTACAAAATCACTTTCACCTTCCCCGGTGCGGCGGAGTCGCCGGGTCCTTTGACACCAAAGAGATCTTCTTCTTTGGTGAACTTACCTCGAGACAAGCCTTGAATCCGATGGTACTAAGGTGCGAGTTCGCCGGAGCAACCGTGTGGAACCCCCTCCACACTCCCTTGAGTCCCCCCTCACAGGATCTTCTCCCTCTCTCAAACTCCACCCTTTCCTCTCTCCCTTTCAAGCTCTCTCTTCTAGTTTCCCCCACAAGAACGAAGCTACAATGGCTGCCAAAGACACTTACAAAGTGCCTTGCCATAGCTTAAATAGAGGCTCTCAAAATGAGCTCATTAATGCAAGTTGCCGACATTATCGTCCAGGACGATAGGTATATCGTCCTGGCCGATCAATACAAATTAAGCTCATTAGCCCGGGACGATATGGGACGATCAGAAGAAAATTGGTTACATCGTCCAGGACGATCGTGAAATCGTCCTGGACATCATCCTGGCCGATCATGCGATCGTCCCAGACGATGTGATCGTATCAATCAACCATTAATGCTTTCCAAAGATACCAGATCAATTTAGGCATGATTGAGTTAGATCGTCCTGGACGATATTTTTTCTTTTGTTGTCTTTTTTTCGATAACCATAATAATAATAATAATAATAATAATAATAATAATAATAATAATAATAATAATAATAATAATAATAATGGTAATAATATTAATTAATAAAAAAAGTAATACTAATAATGAAAAGGTAGTTGTTTGGATTTTTGGTGTAGAGAAAATAGTTGGGTTGATTGTACTGAGAAAGGATGGTGTCCGAATCCAATAATTTCCCATGTCAAAGGGGTTGTCTGAGTGTTGAGTGAAGCAACAAGAGTTTTTTTTTTTTTTTTATTGGCATATATGAGGGAAGGTCGACTAGGGATGTGGTCTCGGGCTGGGCTTGGTCGAGAGGAAGAGGTCGTCAGGTTGGTTTGTTCGACTGTAGCGGCATTAGATCGGAAGATAGGGAGGCGAAGTCGGATAGGGAGTTGGGATCAGAAGGTTGCTTTACGTGTTCCAGAGCTCACGTGAGACTGGGTCAAGCTCAGGCTCTGGAGGTCATTCGGTGCAGGGAAGATGAACTGACCTCGGCTTACAGACGGAGGCGAGGTCGAGTTGGTAGCGGACGTCCGGTGAAGGGTCTTCGAACGGATCAGGAGCTTTCGCTGGGCTTGTGGAGTTTCGGTTGCAGAGGACCAATCAACCAACATAGGAGGTGTTGGATGGGTTGCAGAGGACCAAATTTTGAATGAACACTAAACTTCATGACCTAGTCATTTTGAATTTATAAAAATGAAAATACGCGATCAAGATTTTGTGATCCTTTTCAAGATTGGCATGATCGTATTATAAGTGGAGGAGGTCGTTGGGTGTCACTTTGATAAATGGTAACATTTCGAATACGCATTCCAATCACTTCACTGACAAAGATAATTGGGACTGCAGGACTATAAAAACAAAATGTAAGTGTCCGTTGAGTTTATTACTTTCAAACTTTGTGAAATTTATACTTTTGAGCCAAGTTGAATCTGCTAATGCTCGCATCGAAGCCCTTCAGGACAAGGGTCCTAACAGCCTCCACCCCTTGCTCAAGGGCAATATCCACCTATAACAACAAACCAAATGAAGCAGACAAATTGATATTAGGACAACCATACACTTCATAATTTCATAGTGCATCGGTGCTTTGGTCATTCAAAATGTGAATAAAAAAGCCTAAAAATTACGGTATAGTTTGAAGGGGATAAAAACGACTTGAAATAGTAAAATGCATAGGATGGAAAGTGGAAACTCAACTTCTACCTCGAGAAACCATCCGTTTTATATAAAAAAAGGAAAATGTTAATTGGATTGCTAATAAAAGAAAATCCAGACATATGGATTTGTGTTACAAGATCAAAGACCATTCCAATCTTAAGGCATATTCAAGCATGACATGACGGAAATTGTAGCAAATGCAATAATAAAGTAATTGTGCTATGACATGAAAGACAGATTTTCAAAGTTAGGGACTCAGGCTAAACAAGTTATATAACATTCATGAATGAATTGAAGAGAAATAAAAAATATTTGTTCGTAGGCAACTATTTGAAATTAGCTGGGTGGCTTTCTATTCCCTTGGAGCTCTCCATGACTTGAAGACTTCATAGATGTCCCTCTTTATTATTTGTGTTTTCCCTCTCTTTGCTACTCATATATATCTCGGCCATCCTTTAGTCAAAAAGACTTGGCTTACCACATTACCATTACCACGCCACCAACTCTAAAATACTCACAATTCTATAAACCCATAACACCATTCAAATCTTGATTAATCATAAGGGATCCCTTAATCTGTTCACTGCTAAGTTTGGGAAGGTTCTGAGCGTTCGCTGCTGATATGATGGGGCACATGAGGAAGAAAAAGACCTAGAAGATGCTCAGTTTGACTCAAAACTCTAAAAGGTTGTTCAGAGGAATAATCCCATAGTCATCCTTTAAGAAAAGTTAGAAGAACAATCACAAGTTTCAAACCCCATCATGCCTTACTCGTAAAAGAATTCCACTTTGTTTCTGTAGATATATATCATCCAAAAGAATCTCTAATCTCCACTAATCATGCTCCTTCTCCAGTAAAGTTGCAGTGGGTAACAATGTGGTAACACCAATCACAATGTAGACCCTTAAAGAGTTACCCAAGTTCATTCAAGACTATTTAATTAAGCCCCTATTAAATTCAATATGAATTCTAGCCAAAATAGACGATAGCTTTGGTGAGCTATTCAAAGACCTCTTCAGACCTATATAAAATACAATGTATTTCTCTTCTCTCTCTCCTCCCACCTAGAGCACAATTTCTCCACAAGTAATATTGACTAAATATAGAGAAAAGTTTAATGCTTCTTACATCAAACCACCTTGTCAGTCAGACAGTCACCAATTCTTATGAAAGTTGACAAAAAAAAAATGAAGAGAATTAGTTGAATATTTCATTGCAGCGTTGCAGTATTTGTACAATCACAAGAAATCTTCAAATAAGAATGATAAAAAATTAAGAAATAATAATTACATAATAATTGCAATAGTTTACAGATTAATAAGCTTGCAAAATAATTACAATACTCTCCGGATTGATGAGTAGGGAATAGGGATCTCATACATCAATAAGATCACAACAAAAGTGGAAGGAAGACAAGTCATGAGTGAGGGTTCCAAAAGGTGAAAATTATGCGGGCATTTCACAATCCCCCTTATGTGAATAAATGGTTGTCATCCATTCCAATATTGCCTGATAATTTCTGAAAGACTGCCCCCAATATTTTTTTTGGAAGAAAGTTAATACGTTGTTTACCTGTAGTTGAGAATGGAGTATAATTACACAATTATAAACTTCTCCTTAATAAAATATTTATAAACTTCAATATGCTCTGTACAATCATGTCGCACATATGCAATATTGAGAGGAATAGTGATATAGACGCTTTGTAGGATAAGTTGGAAGAACAAGCACAAGGCTAAAAACCCACAACATATCCATCATGAAAGAACTCCACTCTTGTCATGTACGTATCTGACATCTCTCCATCAAGCATCTTGTTACGAGTGGACCGGTCCCCACTGGACCAGTCCGATACTATGCCAGGCGGAAAAACAGAAAAGGGGCGGAACTTCCCTGTGGACCCCACGTTGGCTCAAATTGAATTTGGGAGGGAGATTTTTGAATGAGGGTCTGTTTTAGGAAGTCCATTATTTTCCTTTATGAGGAATTTTGTATAATTAGGAGATTTGGGGGGGAATTAGGATCATCTTGAATTTGAATGAGAAGTTTGAGATCTCTTGGTGTTCTTGGGCTCTAGGGTTTGCTAGAGACTTGGGGAGAGTTGTTCTTCCTCTCGAATCGAAGACCGTTGTATCTTTCTTTGTTTTGCTTTCATTGCGATTGAAATACAAGTCGTTTCTTGCGTTTTCTCTCAGATTTCCCTGTTTTTCCGGCTGATTTCTGCTGTGGACAGCAGTTTGCTGCTGTATTTTCACTGGTTTGGTTAGGAATACTTGAGAACTCAAGTACTTCCTATTAAATTGGTATCAGAGCGTCGTCGTGGGACTTGTGGTGGCTGAAAATCAGGAATTTCAGCGGGTTTTTGGAGGGATTCAAAGGGAGATTTCCGGTTTCTCGCGAAAGATAAGATGGCCGGAAAGAAGGTGGAAGTATTGGAAGGCGAGTTCGGACAACTAAAGACAGAACTGGAGGGAAAGTTCCTGGAAATCTCCACCAACAATGACAGGTTGTAAGGGAGGTTCGCGGCGATGGAAGAGATGATGAAGGAATAATTTGGGCAAAATCTCCAAATTATTCCTTCCCTTATTAAAAAATATTGTAATGGCAGTGCTTACCAGTTGAGACATGATGGAATACAATGTGACTTTTGATTTTGGGCTGCCATATTTTTTGGGACCTTTGGATGGAGGACCACTCTCTTGTGGAACATTTTGGCCTTAATGTCCGGGACCTTTTTCACTGCCCTCAATAAGCTTTAGTTTCTTATTTTATTATAGATGGTCAATGGGCTCTTCCGTATTACAGTTTATTATTTTGTATGTTCCTCAATGACTTCAAATCCTTGAGATACAAATCAATATGATATAATCGATAGGGAACAAAGCCCTCTATTAGCTAAGGTGGATTCAAAGTTGTCCCCTTAGGCAAATATCCACCCCATATCTACAAGGTACCCTTGAACGAAGAAACCATGGCTGCCGACAAAGTTCCTTCTGTCAGGTTGGGTCGACCACCTTTGACTAAGTAAACCAGGGACCATAATGACCCAGGACGACAGAACCATGGGATCTTGATTGGGTTCATCATCATTCCCCTCACCATCTTCTTAAGTGCAAGATGGTGAAATTTGTAATTTTAAATATTAAATTTTCAAATACCAAATCATGATGCTATTATATGGCAAATACATGTTACATATCTGATTGACGACTAGCCTTAATCGAAAGTTCTATCTTGTTATCGGGAGAGGTAATTAACTATAGGGGCTTGAGCCTATAAGAAACCAGAACTCAGATCTAAAGTCCTCGCAAAATGTGGGCGAAATCTCTAGGTAGTGTCTTATTTCAAACCCAATATGCCTTCTGAAAATTTAACTTGGAATTTAATTCGTTAAAACTCTCCCGAAAGAGGGGAGGCCAGGGCGCGAATTTTTGGAGCCCATAGTCCTCAACCTCCTTATTGAGAATCTTGTCAGGAAGAGAGTTTGCCTCAACTACTTTACGGTGCCATCGTATAGATTGATGAATAATCAAAAGTCGGATCATCTCATTTTGCTCTTGGGTCGGAAACTTAGCAGATGGTCATCTTGATCCTTCCTTTCACAACCACTTCTTGTTGTCACAGAAGGTAATTGAGTCATGTTTAGTTGCACAAGGTTTGAAAGGTTTTTTTTGTGTTGCTTATGACATGCATAAGCACGCACAACTTCCACCACTAATGAAGTTGGATTCCGCCCAGCTGACAACGTGAAATGCCCTTTGCATCACCGATCTTCCTATCATCTCTAATGAAAGCACCAAAAAAGTACATGTCTGAAAACATTTGAATCAGATATTGGAACTTACAGATACTTTCAGAGATCAGAGGGAGACTTCTACCAATGCGAAAGAAAACAATAATAGGGGGAAGAGGAAATCACAGGTGCGGGGTTAAAGTCAATGAATTTTATTATGTGAGTTTTTAACACAGAAATTCAACCTTTTCCCCTTTCTTCTGAAACCTATTTAAAGGCATAAGAAATCTTCTAGCTATAGGACAAGCTCCATCCTTAACGAAAAATGCCACGTCAGTTGAACATTGTTAGGCATAGCACTGAGTGGAATGGATTCCTTTCCTTAAGTTTAGTGCACCTGACACCCTTGATAAACTCTTATTTATGTTGTATATAGCTCAAACTATGGGCTGTGGCTAGCAAAGGCTGTGACTGGTATCTGACAAATCTATCAAAGGAGCTGCCCGGTAACTATCAGTACCTTTGCAGCTTTATGCATTAACTGGGCTTTAGGGTACTCGACAGTTACAAAGGTAGGACTATGACTAGGGAACACATCATGAGATAGAACGACCGTGATATGACCATGACGGATGCAACCAAGGTAGGACATTGAGAACTAGTGTACTTTCATTGTCTTGTTCATTTCTCTATGACATTACGTGGTGCGTTTGCTAGCCTTTGTCAAGCAAAAACAATTTTTGTATGGTCATCAAAGACCTTTTGAGTATAAAAATTAATACATCAGAATCATAAATCTTAAATTTATTTCATGAAACCTCTAGTTTGGATTGTTATAATGCAAACAATAATCTCACTTATGTCATAAACATAGTTAATTGTCTATGTTATGTTATTTAATGCTAAACTAAATAAAATAATTGAAAAAAATATATATGTTATGAAAGCAAATACCTGTTCCCGCTCCACCAAACTAAACTTCTGTAGCAGAAAGGCCCGCAAATCCATTTTCCCAGGCGGGTTCCCAACACCTACAGAAATTAGAATGTTCAGCTTGTACACTGGATAATATAGAATTTGATTCTTCAAACAAATTGAAAACAACAAAAACCTATGCATAAACGTGGGAAGTCCCGACAACCATCCAAGTGATCGATGACACTCTTAACTCTGCAGCAAAAAGAAACACAAATGTCAAATGACAACTCAAATTCTGGCGTCATAGCATGCAAATGAATTTACATAAAGATAAGCTTTCAGAATGCATTTTTATGACTATCTTCATGTTTGTGGAGTTTGAGGAGGCTAAATGTTGGCTTTAATAGAGCTCATGATGCCAAAAGATTATATCGGATCATGTTGCCCTGACAAAATGAGAAATCATCACAGCATATTCTCATGAATACGAGAATCATTAGACGTTATGATGGAATATGTATCCCAAATATTTCCTCTGAATGACAAGGACTGCTAAATCAAAGATTATTTAATTCTAATGGATCAAAATTTTCATACAAGCAAAGCCCCCATAATTAATTATATATTGAATTAGAGACTCACGAAAACTCTGAATTAGTTGTCTTAATTTGTATTTCTCGTCCAACAAAAAGGGTTTTTAAGTTGTTTTCTATTCAATGATAAAATAGTTCAAAGATATCAGTAGCATGCAAAATAACCAAGACAAATCCCTAGTGCAAGAGAGACAAGATGGCATGTATATAGTTCTTAAAAACATAGTTCTATTTTTTATCCTACTATTTAGGGGACTTTGCCCAACAACACACATATATAAAGCATGATTTGTATTACTACAATGTACAGGTTACCTAACTAGCTTCAAATTATTAAAAAATATTTTACAAATAAGTAAATTTCCTAAGGCGATCTACTCAATCAGTCATCTTAAAGCAAGCAATGGAGGTTGTCGAATAAAATCAACAATATTCAAGTAGTAGAAGACCTCGGGTTGGCAGGTTAGCGAGTTGATGGTCAGAAACAAAGTGGGTGTCAAGGTGCGGGCGAGAATGTTGCAGTTCTAGAGTGGGTGACTACTTGGTTGAGTTGTCGACCCTGAGCTGCTAGGTGGGTGAAACTTTGACAAAAATGGAGTCAATGATCAACATTGGAGGAGACAAAAGTAACTATCAGATAAAAGGCCTCTCTAATCTCTTAAATCATGCAGTTAAGGCCTGCCTCCAAGGATTCCAAAGGAAACCTAGAGAAGACCTAAGTTCGATCTAAGGAGAAGTTGACCCTTCTCCATTGCCTCAAAGGATGGCGACTAAGGGCCAGAAAGTAGAGGACTTAGTGAAGAAAAAGTCATAAACACACCCATGGAGAAAAAAGGGAAGGTGGCAGGAGGATTATAGTTCATCTTCTCCTTGCCTTTTGACTTCCTTCGTGATGGGGACATCTGTTCGTGGAAGGTTTATCAGAAGCGTGGCCGTCGATCTACAGCCACGATCGAGTCTTTGTATTTTTTATTTATTTATGTTATTTTCTTATTTATGTATTTTCTTATTTTCAGTGTCGTGTATTTGTTTTTATGAGATTTTCAGTTGTACCATTTGAGTGAGAGATGTCGTATGTAAGCTCGGAGGGCATTTTCGTCTTTTATTGTCTTTAGTCTCATGTACTAGGCTATTTATAGACCCATGTTTTATTTTTGAAGTAATGAATGATTATTAGATAATTTTGTCTTCTTGCTTGGAGTTCTTGAGAGAGCTTGAGAGATCGGAGAGAGATCCCTTGGAGAGGGAGATTGACACATCACCCACCAACCTTGGAGACGGCCGGGTTCGTGGTTTCGTATCTTTGATTTCCCTTAACATATCTCCCACCTACCTTCACAATCTTATTTCTCCTAGTCATTTCCCTCCACCCACCAACACATCACCACCTTGCCGCCGGCCCCTACCCGCCCCATTCTAGCGCCGGCCCTCACCCTCTTCCATCTTCCCCCTCCATTGCCTACTATGGAATAATTCCTAATATTGGATTGCCATAATTTAGTGGTCTTTGAATTCAAATTTTCCCAAATTTGAAATTCAAATTCTTTCCTAAATTATAAAATCTATTTTAGGAAAGATTTCAAATTTTCCCTCCATTAGGGTTGAAATTAATTAGGATGATTTAATTCTTTCGAAATCCAATCCATAAAATTAAGGAAGCATTAAAGCCTCCTTAATTCCCTCCCTCTATTACCCTTAACCACCAGCCATGCATGAATATACCGCCGGCCCCCCACTCCACTTGCCTCCTTTTGGGTTTCCTATAATTCAAATTAATTTGGGATCAATTTGGAATCCAAATTAGTTCAATTCAAGATTCAAATCCTTTCCTATTTGTCTTAACCTATTTTAGAAAAGTTTCCTAATATAACTCAATTTAATTTTCAAATTAAATTGGAGCTAATCAAACCTTTCCTAATTCCTAAACCTAAACTTGGCAACTCCATTTATTTCTCCCAAATCCCTCCCCATCCTCATAGCTGCCGGTCCCTATCCCCTACCAGCCCCCTCTCTCTTCCAATCTCCTCTCTCTCTCTCTCATTAACTCTCCACCGGATTTTAGGATTTGATAATTTCTCTTCTAAATTCCTCTCCACCCCTTACAAAAATCTGAAATTTATTTCAGATTTCTATCCTTGACTCTTTCCTCCTCCACCTTGCAAGAGAAACTTCTTTCTCTTCAAATTATCCAAGTGCACCATCAAGTCGGGAGGAGATTTGTCACCAAGCATCTATGAATGGCGGATCCGAGACTGAATACGGCCTAACCTACGACGAGGACTGTTTCGTCGACATTCTACAGTCAACATTCTTTGACGTTAATACAAGGGTCGATCACACTGTTGAAGACTACATAGAGCGTATTCTGGACATTTTGGTGGAAGCAATCGAAGAGCAGCTTGAAGGCGTCGAGTGGTGGATCTCCACCGCTCCTTGACAAGAAATTCTCTTTTCCCCTTTCAACATATTTCTTGAATCTAACTTTCTCTTGCGTTTGATTGTAGTCATGAAGGACGATTCCCCCTGCTCCTGCTAAGCTTAATAAACGTAGGGTTTTGAGTGTATTCATGTGCTTACTAATTTCACTTTTAGACTGGGGATTTTATTTGAAACTACTATTTTGGCATAATGTTGTTTTCTATTTCATTTTGAAAGCTTCGACTCTCTGGTAGCCTAAGCGGGCGTGACCCCTTATTCGTTTTATTTCGATTGTTTGAGCTGCTACTAATTTCTTCATTTTATTCTAATCAAGAGTTGTGCAAATTCCTAACAAATTGATTGCATTCATACGTAGTCCTGCATCACTTCGCCTCTTCGTCATGTGGGTGACTACAGAGCTCTCTGGAGGAGGATTGATATTGAAGATGAAAGAAAAAGGCTTCTAAGTAATTTGGCAAAGATGAATTAAAGAGACTAAGCTCCAAAGCTAAAGCCAAAAAAGAAGGAAACGAGGGAAGTGAAAGCCTTTTGATATAGTACACCAAGCATACCAAGAAAATGAAGTAAAATGTCCATTACAACAGCCCAAGCCATTAGTAGAGGAGTTGGCACCTTCCTCTACTAATGGCTGCCCACTTCCTTCCCTCCAAAAGCTTCCTCTTCTTTTTTAATGATGGTAATATAAGTCATTGTAAAATCTATAAATAATGCACGTGCAAAATAAAAAATTTCCTCCTTTGAATGATACAATTTTGGAGAAATTATTCTTTTTTAGTTAGTGCTTGATGATCCACCTTGATTTATCTTTAGTAAGATTGGTTGGTTCTCTTTTATGCTTATTTTTACTTTTCTCAAATCTTCTTTCAAATCTCTTTTACATCTTCCACTACACCCTGTGGGCTCCAAAAATTCGTCCCGGATTTAATTCTTTCGATATGTTATTTGCATCTTATTGACATTTAGAAAATTATTTTTGTATGCAGGAGGGGGGGCATTAAACGCCTTCTGTCCGCTTGTAAAAGTGGTGCGGATCCGGTGGCGTTTTTGAATTTCTCAAATTTGGCTCTCACTTATTGGAGTAGTTGTACACTTATTCAAATAGCTATATGGTTCTCAAAATAGAATTTTGAGATTGAACAAATAACATATCAAAAATGTTCTTCATGAAGAAGTTCACCATATGAATGTAGATTGTATTCTTTAATAATTTATCCTTTCCCATAATTTTTTTATAAAGAAACATTGCATTATTTATCTTGTACTTTCTAACAAAGTCAAAAGCTATTTTAAATGCTTTATCCATACTTCCAGCATACATGATCAACACTTCAAATGTGAAGAAATGGTTGACTGCTCCCTTTTTTTTATTTCAATCAAAATGGTTGGCTGCTCCTTCTATTATTAATATTTTTAAAGATCATTTGCAAGACAATTAATGATCAAAATCTATGTTAAACTTGCAAATATGTATAAAAACAGAACTCCCAACAAAAATGATTCTCTTACAGCAAGGTGATTCAACTTCAGCTTTATATCAAGTGTTAAATACATAAACTCCGACTTGATATATTTCTCTTGTGAATTTCTATGAATACATTAATGACACTTTATGAAGCTCATTTATGTATTGACCTATGAATTTTCCTGAATGCTCAACTCTTGTATTGATTATTCTGAGTAAAAAAAATAATAATATTTCTCCATTCTCACTAAGATTATTAGAATTTCCATTTTTTTTTTATAATCTGAAGGCTCAACCTTTTTTTTTTTGGTATAAATATTTATGTATTTCTTTCTTAAAATGTATATTTCATATTTCTCTCAAATTGTTCCAATCAGGTATGTTTAATCAAAATTTTGGCAGTATTCCGGCGTCTCCCCCGCATAGGGGGCATCTACGGACAACTGGGCCATCCCACCACGCTACTCGAGCGTGTATGGTAGGTGTCGAGGGACACCGGGCCGTATATCTTTTCATCCCACCACGCTACAAGAGCGTGTATGAGGCCTTCAAAAGTAGCCGTAAAAGAACACCCGCGTCTCTCCCCACCACGCTACAAGAGCGTGTATAGGGCTCATCGTATGCGTCGCACCGGGCTCCCTCCTACCGTGCTACGAGAGCGCGTATAGGTGGTCCGCCGGTTCGTCGCAAACGCCGAAAATGAGATTTGAGATTTTAGAGTTTGGCGAATAATATACCTTGACGAGCGAGCGAGACGACGACGACAGAGATTTGTGGCGAGGCTAATGATTTTTTTTTTCTGATTTGATTTTTTTTTTTGTTTTAGAAATATATTTATATACTTATATAGAAAGAGGAAAACAAAGAGTAGAAAGGGAAATATGAGATTCAGATTCTCTGTTTACAAGAAATGGGAAAGAGCTGGTATATGAATCGGCTGTTTGTATGGAATAGTAGGAGGGATAGAGCGTAGAATAGTAGGCTTGTAGAGAAGTAGAAGAAGGGGACGGTTTGGAGAGGTGGAGCTCGGGCTACTGTTGGAGGAGACCAGAGCAGAAGGAAAATGGGTTGAGGTAAAGGCTGCACTAAGAGGAGTACTTGGGACGTGAGAATGAGTAAACAAAATTGGATTTCTCCTCTTCTGCTAGGTGTCTGAATTTTGGAAGATATTAGTGGTGAATTGGCTTGTATGAAGGACGTGTGCAAGAGCAATTTGATTACAAGAAGGCACGTAGATGTTAGCTAGCATTATTCTTGCATGGAAGACAGGTAGAAGGAATAATTTGGCAAAGCAAATTAATAGGAAGGCACGTGTATATGTACAGAGATGTTAAGCAGATTAACTATATCAATAGATATTTATATCTATGCCTATGAATGTAATGATGATTTACTGAAATAAGTGGAAATATGTACATGTTAGAGAATAAAATCATACTTAATTAAATATTATATGTTAAAATAAAGTGTGAGATAAAATTCTAAGATAAATTTAGTGGAATGAGGCAACATGTCTAGTGATCAGATTTTTTTTGTTTAGAAGATACATATACATTTTTAAGATAAAAGATTATTAGAGAATCTATTTCTTGCTTTGTATTATTATTATTATTATTTTTTATTTTGATTACTTACCTTTTTTTTGTTATTATTATTTTTTTATGATATGTATATATATATATATATATATATGCCTCATCTGCCAGCTTTTGCATTTCAATTTATGTGTCCTCACCTCGCAACTCAAGTCAAATTTTATATTTTCGCATACCGAATTTTATGTTTTTTTTTTGTACGAATATCCAAATAATATCGCAGTCATTTCCCGGTGTTTTTCAACGTTCTGAACATAATAGAGAAATTCATTTTGCAAACGGACGACGTTTGAGAAACATCGAGTACGTCCGTAGTCCGTCGATTTCGATCGCTTTCATTCAATAATTGATCATCACATATGTTGCTTGAATTGATCGTGCTACATATGTAGAGGTCAACACACCCTAGCTCTCTGCCAAAACTAGACATCTACAACACATGCCATCAAAACTAATATAAACCCTACTTGAATGCTCTCACTATAAACTAGGCTCTTTTGCACCTAATTTTGTTCTCCACCCTTTCATAAGCCCTTAAATCTAATGAAACACCGCCAAAAATATTAGATCATAAATTATTATCCTAACCAAACTATTTAGGTCCATTTCCCTCTATTTATCCTTCATTAAACCTATTCCCTAAAGAGCTAAATCAAACAGACAAAATTAGCCCAAATCAACCCAAGATGGGTGATTATTTTATGATGTGATGATATAATCTGAACTTATGTTGGAATAGTGAGACTTTAGAGTTCTAGTGGTGAAAGAGCCAAGACTAGCTCAGCTTGAACTAGTTTGCACTGATTTGACTAAACTCTTTAGGTGAGGTTAATGATGGATAAATTGTGGAAAATAGATGTGAAGGGATCGGTTAGAATATAAAGTTATAAAATAGTCTTTTTGGTGACTTTTTATAAGATTTAAAGGTTTATTGAAAAGTGGAGAATAAGACTGAGTGCAAGGAAGCCTAATTTAGATCTAGAGCTTCCAAGTGGATTTTGGATTAGCTTTGATGACTTGGGTTGTGGATGGATAATCTTATGAGATGGCTAGAATATAGAGGAAGACAGAAAAGATGTTTAAGAGAATATTTGAAAAGAGTAACAATAACCATAAAATTCAACTAATCAATTCCACCAAAATTGGTCAAGGTTAAATAACAAGCACTACCAAAAAGAGAAAAATTTTCTTCAAGCCTTTTTATCAATGAAAAGTTAAAAACTTTTTGTTAAATACTACACTATTTATAAGTTTATAATGACTCTTAGACTACAATCATTCATAAAGAAGAGCAAAGTTTTAGAGACAAAGAAGGTGGGTATTCCTTAATGGAGAAAGGTGCCAAAAAAATTTGTTAATGTATTTTTTGTTCCAACTTTTATTAAATGAGCAGCCCATAACATATTCTCTAAAATGAAAAGTCAAACTTCTAAGTTCTAAATTTGAAATTTGAACATCAAAACTCAATTATTTCTTCTTAGTGGGCTATTGTAATGGACTTTAAGTAGGCTCTTGCTTTGGCACTTTAATGGGCTCTTGCTTGGGCTGTGTAATTGGACATAGCTTATTTTTCTTGATACACATGATATGGTACATCACCATTGTTCTATATTTATAGATGTTCATGATGATGATGTGTATGGAGAAGTCAAATCAACTTAAATCAACCTTAAAAGAAGTGATTTTTTGCCATCATGATATTTAAATTCTCTTATTTCTTTAAATCTTCAAAGAGATAAAAGAATCAAGGAACTAAATGTAAACCCAAAATTACTTGAATTGAGTTTGAGTCAACTTGACCAACTAGAAGAGTCAACATAATAAACTTATAAGATTGAAGTTGCTAGGAGACAATGTTCCATTGGTTCCAAGATAGAAGTCTACACCATCACAGTGAATTCGCCAATGAGATCAAGTCACCCCAGACAAAAGCAATGTAAAGTCATCAAACAATTCACCTACCCACACCGCCCCAAAAACCAACTAGGAAAATTTATCCATAACTCTTCACATAGCAACTTGTCAGCACTCAATCAATGCAGGTGAAGTCAGTCAGTAACTTTTCATAGGTCTGTCATATATTTGGAAAATCAAAACACATATCTAATGTAGTTAAGAGTTACACTTTATATATCTTTGTTTATGATAAGTCTTCATCATAATATATTTTGTGATTTATTCTTTTTTTTAAATGAAATATTTTATGTAGAGCCATGCCTCTACCTATACCAATATATAGGAGGTGAGAAGAAAAGCTATGTCACAGCTTATTATCTAAACAACTCTACTTTCTGGCAATATAAAATCACAATTTTTTTCTCCTGACTCTCTCTTTATTTATCTCTCTCGTTTCTCAATCAATCTCATCAATAAAGTTTAAGTATAGCTCATGATCAATAAACTTCAAGTATCGCTCATGAACAAATTTGGATCAACATAAATCAATAATAGAGAAAATATCTAATACACTCAACCTAGTTTCCTTGATAAAACAAGTATTAATTGTAATTTTTGTCAAAATTCTCCCATAAGCAATTTTTGTTGATTCATGTAGGAATCATTAAGCTGTACTCAAGTTCAACAAGTTGAGAATAGTTTCTTTTCTTTGCATGTTCACATAGCATGTGTTTACCGATAGCACTACATTATATTGTGTTGATTTTGAATTATGTTCCACCATAGGTCAAGCATATTTGAATTATGTTGTGTAGAAATGAAATACCGAGTAGTCAAGTAAGTCATTTCTATAAATTCAAAAATAAGAAAGCAATAAAAATCCTATGAGGAAGAATAACTACCCACTGTGATGTCCATGACCGCCCTTTGGCGCAAGCCTCAAGACACCATTAGGCAAGCTCATTTCATCATATATCTTCAGCAAAGAAACCATTGCACGGAAACAAAACCTTATCAGAAAACATGAACAGCGCAAGAATCATCCTTTAAAGTGCCATTAAGTTTGAACTTTGGAGCGTACCAATAGAATATGGCGCAAGGGGACTTGGTAATATGCAGCAAGTGGCCCTATCTTCACATGGAAAATACATGATTAGCTACTGAACTAACTATTAATTTGGCTGATGCTATATGATTTGATATATAAGTAGAAAAATAAACCATCAAACCTAACAATCCCAGCAAAGCATTGAATAAGACTTTGATTTACGACTGCCCTTGACATATTAAAATGATTCTTTGCTCATGTTAGCTAGTTCTGGGAATTCAGTTTTCCGTGATAAATGGCATCATTAATAAGAACTAAATAATCCTTTCCTATCTATGTAGGATTTATAGTTTTTTCTCATTGATCAAACAAGCTAAAACTGTTTGAACTACGAAGTTGGCTTCAATGCTAGGCAATATGAATGTTATAAGGTTGTTATTTTTTTCTTTAATTTTTGTTCCACAGCAAAAATGCAATAAAAGAGGAGAATCTCCTTAACAAATTTTCCAGTAAAAATACATCCAGCCCAATACCACCCACCAGGTTAAGAAGAAGAAACTCAAATATTTAGCAAGCTACATGCAGAAGCTAGATAAGGAAAAAAGAAAGCACTAACCGATTCTCCTATAAAATTCATGTAAGCCTGCGGCTTCACCAACAAAATTGGCACCTTGCCAAAAGAACCTAAACCGATTCGGGCCCAAATTAAAATAAAGGAGGAAATAAACGTGATGAATAGTTTAAGAAAATCAAGAATCCCAGTTAGGCTAGTACCAATTCCAAATAATGCCTTGGACTGAATCGTATTCAATCTGATCCGCTCCGCCCGAGCTATGCAATCCACCATCTCGAACCCCACCTGAACCAAATACGATCCAAATCATAAATCGATCAAAGACATTGAGTGCATAAAAATCAAAGCATTTTACTGTGGTTTGATTAGAGATTATTACGTTGTGTCTGGTTCCGTGATACTTGTTACCCGGGTTTCCAAGCCCAGCGATAAGCCATGGCGTGTACTCAACCTTTGCTCCCTCCGTGGGGTCGGGCAAGGATCCGACGATGCGACAGCGGCATTTCAATGAAATTTGTAGCCGGGTTGAGAGTTCAGGGTTAGTGTTTCGGCTCTGCAAGACGTTGCAGAAGAAAGGGGATGGGCGAGGATAGGAGATGGCAACCAACATCGATGGAAAGAGAGGGAGACGATACTAAGAAGGAAAATATATCTGCGAGCCTACGTCGAGTGGTTCGTTCGGACTTCGGATTGTAATCCCTCTTAACCCAAGGCTATAGATATTGCGGCTCGTGCTTGGAACGAGCGGTTGAGGGCATTGCCTCCACCACGAGAGAACTCGCGTTCGAGTCACTCATCCTGTTCAAAAAAATGCTCTAGATATTGAAGAAAAGACAATCCACCAATTCTGTTTTCAATTATAGGGAAATTTATTAGGTGCGGACACTGGAGCCATATGTATGGATATCCACTTAAAATGTGTATGTATAGTACGTTTTGGTTGCACTTTTTGTGTACTTTAATTGAGTTTTGAATGCTCTTTTTTTGCGCTTTTTTTACTGCACTTTGACTGTACTTTACATGTACTTTATTTGCGCTTTGGCTGTGCTTTTTCGTGCGCTTGACTTTAGGTTCTACGGACACATTAAATATATAAAATAAAAAATAAATTCAATTGAATGTCCACTTGTCCACTCCACGTGTCAACATTTTATTGGAGTCCAGACGTACATCTACGTCCGACTACGTCTGATGTCCGCACCTAATAATTTTCCCAATTCTAGAGTCAGATCATGGCAACTTGCAGAAGTTTTTTTTTTCTTTGATGCTACAGGTCTCAATACACTTTTTATCTCTATCATCTCTAACCTCCCAAGTGTCAGTTGTATCAAAGATGGATAATAGGGAGTTTTGTAGGAAAAAAAAAGAGATGCTTAGTGATACAAAATAACTCATGTTTTTCTAATAGATTTTTAAAGGTTGTATTTTATATATGGAGAAAATATTTCTTTTATGATAATGAAGAGTATTATTGATTATTAGAAGAGAAACAGATGTGGCCTCTTCTTAATGATTTGGAATGGTCTTAAATCTCAATGTAGCGTCTATCTCAAGATATAGAGTGGGCATGAAATAGCTTCTCCATGAAGACTCTTAATATGATGAGATAAAGGATGAAGAGACTATTGTTTCATATTTCACAATTCATATATTTATTTTGATGGTTATTTTTTTATTCATTTATGTATTTTCTTATTGACCTTGATATTCATACGGCTTTTGAAATTGTTCATGAACAGTCATAGAATTATATCTTATTAACAATATTATATTTTAAAATTCAATTGAGACTACTAGCATTTCTTCTGCTCCTTTTTTTCTAAACTTAATTTGGAGGAAAACATGTTGTAGTTATCTTTTGTGAGGTTGAGAGTGATACATATTATTTGGTGAGGACGAGATGATTATTTGGTCACTCTTCAACTTTCTTCTATCTTTATTCTACAACTCTTCAAAAATGTAGCATTGCATCATCAATCAAGTGTTAACTCTGTTGGGTAGTAGAGCAAGCTTTGGCTTTGAGTAATGAGATACTTGTTGAGTTATTATCAATGAAATATAAAATTTTATAGTTACATATCTATAATGGCCTTATGTAAAATTTTAACACAAAAAGCATATAAAGTTCAAAGATGTATTAGCCTTGCATACAATCTCATATGTTATTTTGTTCATGTTTTTCTTTGTTATCTGAATAGGGTGGCAATGCATTGAGTTTGCAAATTGTTGCTTACCGATTAGGATGTTTGACCATTTTAAGAAATAGCTTGCCACCAATTGCTTTACACCCCCATGGCTTGAAAATCATAGCCAAATTATGTTAAGTTCAAAATAATCCCCAAATGGTAAGAAACTTTGTAACATGTTTTAATAAAGAAAAATTGAGGTTGTGTCACCTAAGTGCGATGAAGAAAAACTTATCCTAATATAAGACTTGAGAGATGAAAGGTTACAACTTGCTATGAATAAGAATCCTCTAAAGACCATAGATGCTTTACTTATGAAGGCTAGGAAGCACATTAATGGTAGTTAGGGGTGTCAACTTTTGACACGACACGAAAACCCGACCCGGACCCGACCCGAAAAATCCGGGTTGGACCCGACCCTTTTGAAAAACGGGTCGGGTTCGGGTTCACAGATCCGACCCGTTTGACAAAACGGGTCGGGTTCGGGTTGACCCGGCGGGTTGCCGGGTCAACCCGCGAACCCGTTTAATTCAAATTTGAACCCGGGTCAGTTCCGGGTTCGACCCGAACCCGACCCGTGACCCGAAATTGACACCCCTAATGGTAGTAGTAGGATTTATAAGTGGAGTAATAGTTAAAGATAATTATGAGTAGTTCAATTTTGATTTTTACATTGAAATAAATCTTCTCTTGTATGTATTATCTATTTCTTTTCTAAACCCTAAACTCATAAAATAAATAAGATGAATTGTGAGCCTAGTCATCCAATTAAGTAACAAAGATACGCAAACTTGAGCCAATAAGTCCACATGCCTCCCATACCCCATACTAAATTCGTGCATATCTGACTAGCAACAATAAATAAAGGTCAACAAGTTTAGTAGGCAATATTTTTTTTTTAAATTGCATATATAATATATAGAATATATAAATTGGAGGTTAGTTTTATTTTCTTTTAAGCCAAAGAAAGTTGTCAAATATCTTGCTTTGAGGTTATGTGTAAGCAATTTGATAATATAGAGAAAATGAGATCAGTATATTATTTGTCATTAAAAATTTGGTCCAACAGAGTAAATGACACTGCACTCATCTAATTTTGAATATTTATAGTAAGACTTCATTGATTTAATAAATGAAATGAAATCCACCAATTGCTTTACATCACCATAGCTTGAAAATCATAACAAAATTATGTTAAGTTACATATCTAAAGGATATTTGAATGGAGCAATATTAGGCTTGTTGGATTATTTTTTATTGAAATTTTTTTTAGATAAAATCAACTGAGGGACCTATGTAATAAACACAAGAAAATTATAAATCCTAAAAGAACATTCAGTTCTCTAAAAGTACATCCTTTGAAAAAAACCTATGAGCTGAAGTTTTACCAATAACAATGATAAGCATAAGAAAATAAAGCAACAAAAAAAGCAAACAAGGAAAAAATAACTGAGCACCAGGAAGATCCCCAATCCCAAACATGGAGCCACATGAGCCACCCAAAGCAACATGCAAGGTCAATAACACTAGAGAAAAATAATAAACAAAGCCAATTATTTCGATTTAGACTTCCTTTTTCCACGTTTGCCGCCTCTATGAGAAATTTTTTTTAAAACAATGCTATTCACATTCAAACTATACATCACATGGTACTCATCGACAAACTCACCCAATCATTTTGATCCAAACAAGTATCCTTCATATTCAACGACAATTGAGCTTTCAAAACATCATTTGAAATAATAGAAATTGGAACATCAATAAATGAATTCCCATTAAGTCGGCGAGCATTCGAAGAAAGCATGGGAGAACCATCATCCTCCCAAGGTTCCATTCCAAATGACATAGAGTTAACACCATGATGAGTAAAAGCAGAACCTCCATCAACACCATCACCAACATAATGGGAGGAGATGGGAGAAGTAGTAAGGTTAACCCCGCAATTATTAGTATCCAAACTATCATTAACATCCTCATTGCCAACACAGGCGATAGGCAAATGCAAAATAGTATTCAATGAAGCAGTTTCCTCCTCAGCAATACCGACCTTATTCCCAATCTGAGGATCACCGTGAATCTTTACCATATCATAAGAAGCTTCAATGCAATCACCCCCCTTAGCCATCAATTCATTAGCAGAAAATTCAATAGTCAAATTAGGGATAACAATGTTATCCACAATTTCTAAAATACCATTCAAATTCCTATCAGAACTAACAATCTTAACAACAGCAGAACCGAATTTAAGATAACACATTTCTTGTCATCATGGCCCAAGGCTTTGCAGTGATTGCAAAAAAAAGGTAGATCTTCCATCACAGCAGATTGAACATAACCCAAATTATTCAGGCCGATCCAAACAACATCGGGATAATGTTTTGTTATGTCCAGCTCAACTAAAACCAATGCAATCGAAGGTCGTAAACCCACAAAGGTTGCATTGTCAATGCGCAGAGGCCGACCAAATAAAGAGCCCAATCCATGTAAAATGCGAGGAGAAAAGATGTGAGCCAACAAATTCGGGAAGGAGACTAAAATAGGGATAATGGTAGATTCAACTGATAAATCCAAGTAAGGAGGCCACTTAACCAATTTTATGAAACAATTATTGAGGAAGTATGAACAATGCGTAAAAATCCTACAACAATCCAAATCGTTCGTAAGTTTAATCAGCACATTTTTCGCATCCAAAATAGTCACAAAACATTCACCAGCAAGCTTAAGATTGACAAAGAACTTCCTAATGGATTCCAAAGACTGTCGATTGTTTAGAAATTTTCCAACCAAAAAAAATTCAAAAGGTGTAGCAAGAGTCACAATTTCCTCCTCAGAAATCCACAACTACAGCATACCATTAAATGACTAAGTTTTAAGAGGCGGGAAGGCCATCGGAGTGGCACCGGCTAAAGCATTAATAAATGACCTCAGAACATTAACACTAGTTTTGATTGTAAGCACACAAAATTTGTAAACATCTTGAACAATGATGCATTGATGTTCTCGAATATGCCTTCAAATGCAATATTCTAATCATCACAATTCAAATCAAAATATTATGTTCAACTATAAAATTGTTAAAAATAGAATTCAAATTATAAAAAAGTTAATCCTAAATTTTTTTTTTTATTCAAATGTTCACATAAAATTTTGTTCTTGAGAGTATCTAAATATATACGCACATTGAAAAAAAGATGCCCTCAGCAAAATTTTTGTTCTTTGTAGACAGTGGTTCTCCCCCTCACGGCTCAAGCCACATCCCAGATAATATATTCTGGAAAAATGTGGATGCCCCTCAATTCTTCGAGCTGATCTTTTCTTGTAAATTATACAAAAGAGACAATTATTTGTTTTGGAATACAAACGATACATTTGAGTTTAGGGTTTATGAAATTACGTGATTCCTCCACTTTTGTCCCATTAGAACCAACCGAAAAAATGTGTTTCTTATAATTTGTTTGATAGCTCCCCACACCCAAAAAGCTTGCGTGCAATGTTTTTGTTAAAAGATTCGATGGTCCAACAATCATATCCTCTTCTCTTGGCTAAATTTTTAAAGTAGGCTAATGTTATATTTTTTTTTATAAAATTTAGTTTATATACTAACACTAGGCAACTGTAGCAATAATTTTTTTTTATAATTTTTTTAACATTATATAATGTAGTAATAAAAATTTGTTGAGTTACAATTGCCTAGTGCGCTCTATTGTATTATTTTTTTTACATTTTATACTGTAGCAATACAAATTATTTTTTAAAATTAATTTATATAATAATTAAATTTATCTGTCTAAAACGTAAAAAGGTAAAAGAATTCGGCTACACTGGATTAGCAAGCCACATGTTAAATTGACGAATTTATCTAAATTAAAATTTTATTTGACAAAACTTAATTACATAATTAAAATTTTAATCATACCTGCACTAAAATTTATCCTATCCTCCTCCAAGAGTCCAAGTCAGAGTGTCCAGCTAAGAGAAGTACTACTTATCTTATCTTAAGCATTGTTTGAACTCTCCCTAGCTAGCTACTAAATCCAAAGTCCACATCAAATAAATCTGACCGACTGACCCTATGGCTAATGGCTCCAATGCATGCTTGATTATTCTTTGTATAATCTTTCCAATTACAAATTACGTTGCGTGCTCTTTTTTTATTATTGTTTTTCTTACATGAAATAAATTTCATTTAGCTTAACACTTAACTTTAAAGAGAAGGTTATATGTAAGTGCATAACTCATCTTGAGATGGATGAAGACACAGTACAAAACAGCTCTCATCTTTGGGATCGGAGAACAAAATATATTCCAACTCATCTCCAATAGACCAAAAAAAGACCAACTCATCATCATCACATCAAAAACAAGTCTAATAAATACCAATTTACAATGACTGAAGGTCCCAACAAACTATTTCAAAGTAACAATCCCTTGAAACCTCAACCAAGCAAAAAAGATCCTACTAATTACACATGAAATGTGTTGGTTTTCTCCTTCGTTGACATGAAGTGAGGATGATGTAATATATATTCTAGCTTAGGTATGAACTTGTAGGAATAATGTGAAGTAAGTGATCATTGAAGGTATTATTAAGTATTTAATAGCTCAAGTAAGCAACAAAGGGGCATGCCCCAACATATAAAGATATAGTGGAAAAGTTAATCAAAAAGAGGGCGGATGTATAAGAGGTTTTGAGATAGATGAAGTACAAGGGCTAGCTAGGATTTATATGGTGGATGTGAATCCTAGCTAGTAGATGAATACTAGGTTTTTTTTTCTTTAGGAGTAAGAGAATATAATATCATGAAAATAAAAGATGAAAAAATGAATTATAGGGCATTGTCATGATAAGCTAGCACTCTAGCAACGATGATGAGAATATTTTGCCGTCATGAAATTGTCATCCACCACCAATAGTGGAGGAAGACACCTATCACCATCTCATAGTGGAAGAGAGAATTTAAAATATATTTATATGATTTTTCATCAAATAAAATATATGATTAAATCATTGAGGTTACTAAACCTCATAAATAAGCTTATATTACTACCAAATAGGAAAGCAACAAAAAATGGGATAAAAACAACTTAAATATTATTTTAAACTTATTAACAGTACATACATGAGATATGCGCAAATAGATTACAACAATCAAAATAAAATTACAACATTTAAAATCAAATATCAAAAGGAGGAGAGGAGGTGGCATTAGGATAGCAAGAAAAATAGTAATTGCATGGATGCAACGTCGTACTCTTCTTTTGAATTTACATTTGCAGAGAGGAGTGGAGGCCAGGGATAACTACTGCTCTATCTTCAACCTGAAAACACCTTTTAAATTTTGATATGAAGACATCAATTAATTAACTTGGTTTTACATGAAAAAAAAAATTGATTACATGTGAATGCTGAATGACCAGTTTAGATTTTTGGAAATTAAATTCCTTAATTATTCTGCATCACACAATATATGAGCCTAACACCAAGCTTCCAAGCAACTAGTTCTTCATCAAAGTCGACCAATTTTCAAAGCAGGCCGAGATAAGGCAAAGACTAATCGGATGGGTCATTAACAACAGACAAAATAAGAATCCTCCTAAGAGAAAATAAGATCAAAGCAAGGTGATATTTCATATTTGAGTTCCTTCCCACATCTCAAGTCCGAACACAAAAGATAGTTCTAAAAATGGTTGCTTTTGCGTCTCAACTAAAAATCCATTACTTACTCGATTAAAATTTGTGATTTGATTCTTCGCCGATGTTAAAGATAAGGGGAGAAACAAAGTTCAGTCTATAAATACGATTCCCCGCCTCCCGCCAATGCCACCTCACACTCACTAAGCATATCTGCTACTTCCCCCACACAATAATTAATAAATGCTCCATCTTCCGTCCCTACTCTGTAAGTAAGTAAGACTCCGCGGGCTCTGCTTTGTCTGCTTGCTGGGCTGGAGTCGCTTGACTCAACATGGAACCTCCGATGAGTATCTTCTTCCCCGTCTTCGCTCTATTCCTCCTCGCTTTGCCGGGCTCTTCCGCCGCCGCCAGAATTGCCCAAGAGGCACCGGCGCCGGTTGCCGCAAGCCGAACTGATACCAACGTGCTGAGTCGGGACAAGTTCCCGGATGGCTTCGTCTTCGGGACGGCGGCGTCCGCTTACCAAGTGGAAGGCATGGCGCTTAAGGACGGCCGTGGGCCGAGCATTTGGGATGCCTTCGTCAAGATTCCTGGTAATCTCTTCAGTCCGTTTTTAAATCCTTTTTCTTTTACCCATATATCTTCTTAGATCCCCATCTTCATCCTGTGTAATGGCTTTCGTATGATTACTCTATCCATTTTCGTGGTAAACAGGGGAAATAAAGAACAATGCCACAGCTGCAGTCACTGTGGATGAGTACCACCGATACAAAGTACGTGATTTTGTAGCTTAATTAGCCAAAATCTTTATCCATGTATCTGTTTGGCACCTGACATTTTCGTGTAAATGTCGCTGAGAAAATTTACGGCTGGTTTCAAGTGGAGTTGTTATATTATTGTGAAATCTGATGATGTGTTTTGCGATGCAGGAGGATATTAATATAATGAAAAATATGAACTTCGATGCCTACCGGTTCTCTATTTCGTGGTCTCGGATCTTTCCAAGTAATGATTGATGCAAATATATATACATATTTATCAGATCCAAAATAATTTATTTAGAATGATGTTTAATAAATGCGTCTTAAATTTGTATTCTCTATCATAGTATCATGTGTTAGAGCTGCTGTATAATTTTCTTTGCTCCGATGTAGACGGATCTGGAAATGTTAACTGGAGGGGCGTAGCTTACTACAACAGATTAATAAACTACATGATACAGCAAGGTACACCCCAATGTCTCCTAAACTGGACATATCAATATTTGTGTTATACTTGTTCTAATCTTATGGAGGTCCACAAACTAGGCATCACTCCATATGCAAATCTCTATCACTACGACTTACCAGAAGCACTGGAGAAGAGTTACAATGGCTTGTTGAGCAAAAATGTTGTGTAAGTTCATGTTTTTAGATTCATTTTCATTCATATAGCTCTAGTCGTTCTCCTTTCTGAATGCTTCATATATATCATTTCAATCATTTTTTAATGCTTCATAACTAAGTTTCATGTATTTGCTTCCTCCGTCAAGGTAAGTAGGTTATTTTCTATTAAATTTGCAGTATTTAAATGATCTAAGCTAAGTTATCCTCTCTCAGGAAGAACAAAGTATGTTTTAAGATATAAATGTTTGTTGTGATGGCTACTATTGTTCATGGTTGAAAGCCATATTCTTTTTTTTTTTAATTATTATTATTATTATGCATTCATTCTATTCAATCTACTAGCAATAACAATGTTAGCATAAGGTATATTTTCCGTGTACCTGTAAGGCTGTAATCAAAATGTTACTATGTTGGATCTCTTGGACAAATTCAGCTAACGGTGAGCTAACTTGCTTAGAATCAAGTTTTTTTTTTTTTTCCTAAGGAAAAAAGGGGAAAGTAAGTTTAGAATCAAGTAAATATAGTGTTTTTTTAAGCCTTCTCTTACAGGAACTACTATCATACTGACACTCAGGGGAAGTGTAGTCTGAACATTGAGTCAAACCTCTTTGACAACTGCAGGGAAGATTTCTTAAGATAATACAAAGACCTGGTAAGCAAGCAAATATATTCTATTTTCCTTCAACCCCAAAGCATTTGAGAGACTGCATAAATCATTTCCTCAAGCTCTCCACATAGAAAAGATCCTTTAACATTAAAGTACTCTAACCTCAAATCAGACCTTGCTATAAGAGTTACGGAATCACAGAAGCAGATGTGTACCTAACAAAAAGAAAATACCTCATGGAATGCCACTCCTTCAACTTGCAAGTATTGAGTAGGTAATAACACCACCTGCAAATGCAGAGAACGTTGAGCAGCAATACGCAAATGCCAGTTCATGCACACCGTAAACTCACAACAGTAAACTTAAATCAAGACCATACACATGTTAAAATATCAGAACAGCAGATTTCGTATATTATATATACGCATAACACTTTAACAGGAAAATACATGGAAGCAATACATTGTTAAAGCTGTTTACTACTTTTCCTCCTCTTTCTTGCTTATAGTATCATAGCTTCCCTTCTTGTGATATGTACTATACTTACCATGGGTTTACTGGAAGAGAGGCCAGTCCTTGAGTACAAACTTCTTCAGTAGGCCCTTGCTTTAATCGTGCTATCCAAACTGGAGCTATCTTGCTTCTTCTGAAAACTGATTTGAAGCAAACAATCTTTCGCACTTTTCTAGCAATTCATGACATTAGTTCTTATTTTATTGGAAGATACTTTATTTCCATGTAAAGAGAATGATGCAGATTCCAGAGGCTTTTTTCTGTATGGTTAAGATTCTTCAACGATTGGTTCCATGCAGGAAGGACTATGCAGATTATGCAGAATTTTGTTTCAAAACTTTTGGAGACAGAGTAAAGAACTGGTTTACATTTAATGAACCAAGAGTTGTTGCAGCTCTTGGATATGATAATGGCATTTTTGCTCCTGGAAGGTGCACAGGCTGCACTCCTGGCGGCAACTCTACTACAGAACCTTACATTGTTGCCCACAATCTGATCTTATCTCATGCTGCTGCAGCAAAAGTATATCGTGATAAATATCAGGTATATCATCACTTATAATATATATAGTTATACTAATATAAAATAGTTTCTATAAGAGTGTTATCGAATTTCTGTTCGGCATTAAATCCCATCTTCCCTGATTAGAGAATGCTAAATATTCTTACGGATGTTTTATAATTTAGATGAATAATCTTTCAAAACTCATGATCTCTTCATCTTATTAAATCTGTCAGGTTAGTCAGAAAGGCAGGATAGGTATTCTGCTGGATTTTGTTTGGTATGAACCTCTTACAAATTCAACAGCTGATGAAGCAGCAGCTCAAAGGGCAAGAGACTTCCATATCGGATGGTAAGTGTTGACGACTTATGAAAAGTAACATACGCGAGCTTGCAACACTTATAAAACTTAAAACAATAACCCTTAAATGAAATATTTTCTATTTTGGTAGGTTTCTCCACCCTATAATATATGGCGAGTATCCAAAATCAGTGCAAGAAATTGTCAAGGAAAGGCTTCCAACTTTCACTGCAGAAGAGATTAATATAGTGAAAGGTTCTGCAGATTACGTAGGAGTTAACCAATACACATCATACTACATGTTTGATCCACATCTTCCAAGCCAACCACCAACTGGCTATCAAACAGACTGGAATGTTGGATTTGCTTGTGAGTTTGCTCATCTCGCCGTATTAATTCTTAACATCCTCATTTAGCTAAATGTTTAGGGTTACTTATTGCTTTCTACACTTTATACATGCAGATCAACGCGATGGTGTGCCTATAGGACCAAGGGTAAAGTATTGCTTAACCTGGCAGTATCATTATCGCATTGTGATCTCTTTCAGCTCTACCATATAATAATCTTTCCTCCTCTCTGGTTACATATATGCTTTTGCTCCCCTCTTTGAAGATTCCACCATACCATCACCTAGTTTGTCATTTGAAACACTTGTAATACAATCAATATGAAGAAATAATAAGCCTTGTTCTACCCAGTTAGATTTAATTACATCTTGTTAGAGTGAATTTTGCAGGCATACTCAGACTGGCTGTATATTGTCCCATGGGGAATGTACAAAGCTGTAACATATGTGAAGGAGAATTATCAGAACCCAATAATCATTCTATCTGAAAATGGTAGTAATTAGTACTAACAGAATACTTTTGAATACCTTACTATTTATATATATATATATTTATAATCTAATTCCAGTTTCAAACATATGAAGGAATGGATGATCCTGGTAATGTGACTCTTCCAGTTGGAGTGCATGATACAACAAGACTGAATTACTATAAGAGCTACATAACTGAGCTAAAGAGGGCAATTGATGATGGAGCTACTGTGATAGGCTATTTTGCTTGGTCTTTGCTGGATAACTTTGAGTGGAAATCGGGCTACACTTCAAGGTTTGGAATTGTATATGTGGACTTCAAAACCCTCAGGCGCTACCCAAAGATGTCAGCTTACTGGTTCAGGGATTTGCTTCAGAAGAAGAAATAATATATATAGCGTGGTAATTTTTCGCTTGAATTTCTAGTTGTGTGATGGAGTGAACTACTTTATCAAGTTGTTGAGAATTAGGCTGTGTGTAGAGTTTAAATGGTTCTGAAAAGGGTATGATGGGCTTATTTCGTTGGTAAAAGACTATGTTTTATGTTGTACGTTACACCTGCAGCAGTTATTTGTCTGTATCATGATGTTTGGAAAAATATTAAAAATGAATAAAATGGCGCTGTGTGGTATTTCGGTGTAAACTGATGAGCAGTAGAACTGTGTTACTTCAAAGAATAAAATGGCACTTTCTCACATGCATCTGGTGATCATATTGATCATTGATTGGATAGATAAAATTGTTAGATCTAGCTGAGGTTTAGGGTTACCCCTTTGGTTAGAGCGAGTGGCCCTTCTAGCTGAGGCAATTGGTCCCCCCAGTTGAAGTGAGTAACTCCTGGTAGGCGCATCTTGACCCTTGGTGAATCCACTTAATCTTTTCGACTCATCTAGACTTAGGCAAATAGGGTTCTCGATTTTCTTGAATCTTCGAAGAGATATTTGTAAAAGAAAAAAGAGAGAGAGAGAGAATTAAGTTGTTTATTATTTTTATTAAAATAATAATAAAAGAGAAAGTGACAAGTTTATTCTTTTGCTTTATTTTTGCATTATGACTTTAATAATGAAACTTATTGGACCACCACGTACATGTCACACCGTGCCACCGGGCCTAGAAGAAAATCACAAGAACTCAATGATAGGATGCGAGCTGAACAAAATTTATAAAATAATTTCAAAACATTGGAAGTATAAGACTTAAATACATTGTGTCCACCAATAAATCATTATAACATTTAAACCCAAACATATGCTAAATGAGCACCAAAAATAATGAAATTCCACTTTTACAATTAAATTAATTAGATAACTCTAACCTTTATAAATACTTGCCAAAGATGATGCATGAACCTAAAACTTCCTCCAAAAGCAGCACGACTAGCAACTTGAAATTATGAAATAATAGGTGTAAGAACGAACTCAGTAGGTAAAATCCTACCAAGTAAAACATAAACAACAAAACATGAAATAAAATATGAGCAAAGAGAGGGATATAAGTGAAAAAATAAACACTAGACTATAATAGCTTCAAACAATGTATGATATGAGATTTTGGATGCATTTCATTTGTTAAAAGCTTATTGTATAACATAATTGATAAAGAATTACTTGTGACAACTGATAATCATTTCATTAAAATACAAATACATTTACTTACAAGCATACAATATGTATACATCCACCAATGACTCATTAGTCATTTATTAACTTTGTATATCAATAGATATATATTTATAAACATTTGTAGTTGGTTTACTCAAATACCTTGCCGGGAAAGGTAAACACAAATCCTAAGGAAATCCAATGATTTCCTATAAAATCGTCACTCTGATACCCATCGATTCGACTAGCCAGTATCCAATCAGATTAAATGATGACATTTATGAGCATCAAACACACAAACTTGTATTATATACATATTGTATTTAGGTAATAATGCTTAACAAGGGTTATCACATAAATAAACTAAGTTATATGCATTACAAAATTCATATTTGTATGAGAGATAATTATTTAAAATAGCCAGAATAAAATACGTGAACTATCTAGACATTTTTGTAACAAGTAACATGGCAGAGTTAACTATCATATCATATCAAAATGGTCACTTAAAATACTGTGAATGGAGAAGCACGCATACTATGTTTATTATCAATAAATAAAACACTGAACAAGTAGCAAAGGATGTGCCCCTGGTAAGGAAGGGTATATTTATTTCTTATTCAGTAAGTAGCCACCTACCAATTAGAGACCATAAATAGTGGAGAATTCCAATCATGATGAAGCTCCTCCCATTCTAGCACATGGTATTCAACAAACCCTAAATTCACAAGAATTTACATCAATATAATCATATATCCAATATATCACTCAAAATATTAAATAATGCAACAACCACTTAAACATCTTTTTTAAATAAAGGATTCTACCATGCACCAAAGTTATTCTTCATAATGATCTCAAACTTAAATGCTTTATTTAATTCTTTTTATATAAATATCTTTCACCACAATCCAAATAAAATATTTAGCAACTCTTTATGAATCAATTATCATAAAGATTTGATTACATATTAACTCTAAAATATATATACATATACTTGTAACCAATTCCTTAATACATAAAATAATTTCTCCTAAATCATAAAAATGTGATTTCACTAATATAAACTATTGCTATTGCAATATATAAGTAATATGTAAGTATCATTATTACTATATGTCAACTCATCTAGGTTATAGATTGTTACATAGTATAAGTTAATATTGAATATAAATGGTTTAAATGAATATAATAACAAAGAAAATATGGATTCAAAAACTCTAAATGTCTCAATTTAATGTTTTAAATAAAACTCCATAACATAAAATTAAATTGCATATAAATTCAACTCTAAACCCTAAAAAATTGAATTTATTAATAGGAATGATAATCATAATCCACCTAGAAGAATTATAAATGTTTAGGACAAGTTTGATGTTGGGGTTTACCTAAATCAAATGGATGAAGGGAATGAAAACATGAGAAGAGGAAAAGATCATGATATGTTTGTGTTTCTTTCCCCTTGAAGAAGGAAACAAAGAAATATGAAGCAAGGATGCAAAATTGAGGCATCATCAACCGAGTCGGTCCTTCTTCCATTCAAATCTTCTCCTCTACTACTTGGGTAGTCATAGCCACCAAACTGTGATGCCGTTAAGCATGACCATGGCCACTCACCTTCATTGCTATGCATCGCGTGTGATAGGAGGTTGATGACGAACAACACCTCCTCGATCCCTGCTCACACGTGCGGCGTACGACCTTTGTTCCGAGCTCCCTTTCTTGCAGTTGCCCCCTCTTTCTCGCGCTCACTGCAATGCCCTGAGTCCAATCCCCATCTTAAAGAAATGGGATTGCTTGAATAGGAAATCAAACAACGTGAACCGGTTTAGTTGACCCTATTCGATTTGACTTTGCTGAGGCCAGGTTATTACAATATGTTAATAGCTTGTGATGGCCTATAAATATGGATAGGCCTCTTCCTTTAAAGCTTGATCTTCTCTTCTACCTACTTGCCATTGTAACCTTGCTTTTAAATACCTAAGAATGGCTGAGTCTTCCCAATGTTGCCACCCATGAGTTGTACAAAAGTATTCTTCACAACACAAATTATTCAAGTAGAGCGTGAAGAAGAAATATTGAGTCAACTTGACAAAGAAAATATTAGTGAAAAGTAGCATGAGTTGGACAATGGTGAAATTTTGATCTTAGGCTTTGATTTATGTAAAGCTGCCAACTTTGTGTCCTTGCTTCATCTTGCCTTCCTCAGAGTCTAGGTGCTAAGATTAACAAGTTGATATCTTCTTTGACTTTTCATGTGAGGCTGTATCCACTCTTTATTGAATTGCTAGCCGAAAGTGGTTCTAAATTTTGAGGAAGAGAAGGAGAGACTTGTTGTTTGGAGGAAAAGACAATTTTTTCTGTTAGTCTTGATAGGATGTTTCTTTTGTGCACTCAAATTTCAAGACTTAATGACAAAAATAGTGGGTGCTCCCAAGTTTATGGAGTTCTCCATGTCAAGTCAATTTTTATCTTGGGGCGAGTTCATCCTACTTCAACTTGTTAGAAGTAATGTATTATTAGATCACGTCTTTAAGTTTTTTCTTAATAGCAAATATGGTTGAACTTGCCCATGAGTAAATACAATTTGAACCCAAAAAAAAAAAAAATCCTTCCACTTTTAATTCTATGTACTTACCACTTATTATGAACACTTCATGTTTTGTATCATTGATGTGCTTGGTTCAAAGAGTTTTATACATTTTTGTGTGTTGCATGGACTCGTCACCTTCATTGTTCTTAGAATGCAAATAAATTTTCTAGTGTAATAATGAAGAAATATTTGATTCAAATTTTGATTATTTATTTTGTATGTGGTGTTTGCCTCAAAAATTTCATACTCTTTCTATAAATATGTCCTTGACCATCTTTGTGTCTTGCTCCCTATATCTATTCACTCAGTTCTTCTTGCTCTCTCCATTGCTTTGAAAGCCTTTTCACTCATTGCGATTGCTTTCCTAATGAAGTGTTAGAATGTTTTTATCAAGGCCGAACATGTTGAGGATTCCAATGCTTCTCCTTTGCATACTAACATGGTTTACTTGGGCTATTATTTCTACGATAAAATTTTTATTATTTGAGTCCCAAAGAGAGGCTATGTAACTCTTTTTAATGATAATTAGTTGTGCTTCTTCATGGACTAGTTTAGTTTAAGATTGCAACTTCATTTATATAAAAAGATCACTGACATTTTAAACTTTTATGAAATAAACTCTCCCAAATCATGATGAACTTTTTTGCGAGTATTATCATGATGCTCTCATATATCATGATGGAGAAGATATTGTGTTGCATTAATTTCTTTTGCTGCCTCTTCTATATCAAGGCTTTCAAATAAGGGCGTGTTCAAATTTCTTTCGTACATGTGTGCATAATAGGCCTGGAGAATAACACGAGGGAGTCAAAACTCAAATACATTTTGTCAAGCCCACTATAAGGTGGCTAGTAAATATTAGGCCTTTACCACCCTTACTCAGAGAGAATGTGGACCTTCCTATCATGTGCATATTATACTATCTATCTCTAACTCAAGGTACTTGCCATAAGTGTTAACTCATATATCGTTATGAATGGTGTGAAGGATAATCTCTATGGTTAGTTACTCAATCCCTCTCTTTTTTCGTTTGATATTCCTCACTTTCTGTGTTATGATATTCAAGTGCTTATGCAAGTGATATAATTTTTAGATGAGTCCAACATTTATATTGTCTTAAATGGTCCATAATCATCGAAATTCTTAGGGTGAAAGTCCTCAATGTTTTGAAAAAAAAGGAAAGTTAGGTTTCAAATTTATCTCTTATGAATTTTGATGATGACTCTTCTCCACTCTACTTGATAATTCCTCCTTGCTCTTCAACCATGCTGGTGGTTTCCCTTAGCTTCAGGCTACTGCTGAAATGAGACATTAACCCATTTAGCTCCTAACTCAAGGGAAAGCAATGTCCCGAAAAGGTCCTCTCTTTCCTCTGGAGTAGTCATCATGTGAGTAACCCTTTTGAGCAAGGTCTCAAACTTGTGGTTATCACTATCTCTCATGCACCTTTTCCTTTTCTTTTGAGGTAACTAAACAGGCTAATGCATGCTAATGAATGCTCTAACTCCTACTTAAAAATAAAAATAAAATAATAGGGTTAGTAATATATTTGGTGAGAAAAAAGAAAGAAGCACATTGTTGCGAGGTTCGCTAATTCAATATGAATACAACAAGTTGTTTGGTTAGAAGTATGATTTAACTCAATTAGGATCTAGTAAATCTTGTAAATTTGAAAATAATAAATTTGACATGGGTTAAATTCTAAAAAAATAATTGGCATGGGTTAAATATTGTTAAATTCAATTAAATTGTTTGACTATTTATTTAGGGATTGAAAGACTTATATGATCATGACATTAATTAAATCATAATTAGCACAAAATATTATCTTAATTAATTAATAATTAACAATTTATTGAGCTAATTAAAAATAACTTCTATTTAATTAAATTTAATAAAAAATAATATCAATTTATTTTATTCAATATCACTTTAGCTAGATAATATTAATTATTTAGGCTAACTTAAGTTTTTAATTAATGTACCATTGAATATTGATAATTTTAGTTAATATAATTTTTTTATCACTTATAATTGAACATATTAAATCATAATCAGCATAAATGATATTTTAATTATTCAGTATTTAATAATTTATAAAATAATTAAAAGTAATAGTAACTTTTTAATTAAATTAGAATACAAATAACATTAATAATTTTTTAAATAATTAATATTAATTAATTATGAAGATTAATTTTCCAAAAATTTTAAGCATAAAACATAATATCGGAAACCCTCGTCACGGCAAAAAAGAAGCTATAAATCGCGACGGTAGCTCCGCTGGTCGGACATCGAAGAGATCGCGGGATATGAAGGATAGGAGAAGTTGCCGAAACGTGAGGATTTAAGTTCAATCCGCCGAATGCCATGATTTATTAAATTCGGGCTTTAAGGTGCAACGGAGTGCGAACGGGATTTAGAAAACTGTAGGATTTAAAATGATATTTCCTACCGTTAGACGAGATTTAGTTTGTTAAATCCTGCATAAATCCTGCTACCAAACAGCTCCAAGCCTCGATGGAATCGGAAGGTAGCCATTTCAAAACGCTATTCCAAAAAGGATTCTCAGTGGCTTATTTAGTTTAGGATTTCTTTTTCTAGGGCAAAGGGCGGCCTCGAATCCCTCGGCCATGCTTGCTGCCCTACTGAGCAAGAGAGATAAGCTTCAAGAAGAGCTACGTAGCATTGAAAAGCAGGTTTAAACAGCTCCAAGCCTCTTTTTGTTTTACTGAAAATTTTGAGAGCTCTAAATTCCCAGCTTCTATTGTAGTTCATCTACAAACCTTTTTTTGGTTTTACATCATTATTGGACGGAAATACTTGTTATCACTTTCTTTCTAAGTAAAATCAGTGATTAGAATCTTTTGTTGGAGGTATTGCTTCTTTACCTGGCGATTTCACTTGTACTCTTTGACCGGAAAAATACGTTCTTTTGAATACTAGTGCAGCTTGACAGGCCTAACTGCACTTATTTTATTCTTTAGAAATTTGTGCAAAGAGAAGGGTTTATTTGCTCATCAAACTGCTGCATTCAATTTTGGGAGCATTATTTTTCCAACACTGCTATTCTATCAGATTTTCCCTATCCGCTAGCCGTTCAATTCTCTTACAAATGAGGAACACCCTTGAAGATCCGCAAAATTACATGAATGCTTAGAGGGCCGAAAAATCCAGTTTGGAGAAAATAGAATCATTTTTCTCATTAAGGGTTGTTTGGTTCAATGTTATTTAGAAATTACTTTTCTTAATATATTTGTATTATTCAGTTGACAATGCTTTCTTTAAATTGTAAAAAACGGGGAATCAAATATTATTTACATATTTATAGTTTAATGATGTTAGCAAACAAAGTAGCATATATGTTCTACCAAATATTTGAGTCTATTGATCTATACAACTTTAAATATCCTATTTATGGATTATAAAAAATGTGCATCTACTCTATTTGCCTTTGCATTTTTCAAATCTCTTCCTTTTTTGCGTATGCCCAAGTGCATTTGACAGTATCTGCTTATTTGTAATTTGATTGGAAAGCCAAATTTTGATGTAAACATCACAAATGAGGCATAAACAAACCATAACAACCCCTCATTTGACTTAGATATGGATGGAAGGTTGATTTTTTTCCTTTATGGTCCAAATGCTCACGATATATTATCTATTTGTTGTTTGTCCTTGAGGAGTGTTTAGATAGATAGATTCTCTGCAGTGCTAGTAGGATAATCTTGTTGAGATACGCACTTTTATGAAGTGCTTACCTATTTCGGCTTGGCTAGCTAGGTTTAAATTTTATCTTTGGGCAGCCATCTTTAGTCATTAGGTGTGTTCTTAAGCTTTTTTGCTAAATGTCTAGAAGGACTCTGGTCAATTTCAATGGTTTTGGAACGCACCTCTTACTTTTTTTAAAAATAACAGTGTTTTAGTAAACTATAGCTTTATACTTTGCAATGGCGGAGAACCATCCAAACTATGAATTGTTTGGGACATACTTTTTTTATTATTTATATGCTAGAAAAAGCAGTCTATAAAAGTAATATCAGTTTAAAATGAATTTTTTTTTGCTTTTCTCAAAATTTGCTTTTAAATACTGTTTTTTAGGAAAGCACAAAAGAAATTATAGCTGAGAATGTAGTTTGTAAAAAGGTTTTGAAAAAAAAAAACATCTTGAGCAAATCAGTATAACGTTGGTTTTGCCAATGTTTGTGCTAATTCAGCTTAAATGCCAACTGATCAGGTAATTCGCATCATCAGAAGTATTAAATTATTTAGGCTTTAACTTTATTTATTTGGCGCAAAGGATGGTGAAAGAGTAATTTTTCCATTATTTGCTTGTTTTTTTTTTATGTGAAGCATGATCATTATTTTGAATCAGATTATGTGTAATTGGTTTATTAAAATAACCCATATTCTGATATGTTATTCTTTGCCACAATCCTACAAGGTTTATGACCTTGAGACTAGCTACTTACAAGAATCAAACCAATGTGGGAATGTTTTGAAAGGTTTTGAAGGTTTTCTATCGGCCTCAAAGAGCACAATTAAGTAAGCCTTTTTATCCACCATTATCTCTCTCTCTCTCTATTCCCCTCCACTTTCCCCTTCATCTTTCTTCCTCATTACTTGAAAAGCATGTCTGTTTCTATTATGTTTTTATCACTCCATTTCCTTTAAGCTCTGAAATGAGCACATATCAATCTTTAAATGCTTCTCTCAGAGAAATGCTATTGCATTATCCTTGTTTCTTTTATTATTTTAGATTATTTATATCTTCAATCCTACACAACTGCCTAGTTAGTGTTCTAATGTGATAATTACAGAGCTGAGCTTTGTTTGTCGTGCTATCTTTGCTAATTTTTGGTGTTTTTGTATTTCCATCTCCTTATATATCTTCACCCAAGTTATGTTATACTTTTTTTTTTAAATTTGTTACTAGTTTTGATTGCTCTCTATTATGGCATTCTTGTTTCCTTTTTTTTTTCCTTCCTGAATTTTCACAATTTCTTTAAAGTCTAGAAGGATTAGCGATTTTTCATTAAGCAAAATTTTCTCTAACTTTTTTTTTCCCAAATGGTTAGATTGTTTTATTAAATTTCTGATATGATTAAATAGGATCTTTTGTAGTTCTATGATCCTTGTTTCTATTTGTATGATCTAAATGCTGATTGTTTTCGTTTAGTGCAATGATCTACCATTTGTACGAAAAATTTATTATTGTAGGGTTTGTGCTGTATACTTTGTAACATAATGAATTGGATCAATTTGATATTCACCTATCAAATCAGTGATATGATTCTAATATGGTGAATTAAATAAGAATTATCTGTAAATTATGGTTCGCTTTTTAGGCGATGAAACAAGAGTGTTGGGCGCATTTGTGAGGCACCATTGATTAAGGAGTAGGCATGCATCAAGCTTCTTCCAGGTTATTTGTTGATTATTTTAGTATTTTAGGTTATTTTAGTTTTATTTCAGTTTTAATGTATTAAATTTAAAAATTGTTTCTATTTAAAATTAGATAGGAGGATTATGAGGGCTTAGTTTATTAATTTAAAGTAGTTTCATATCAAATGAGGCCCTACTTTAATAAATAGGGGATTTAATGTGTATAATTTGATTAAATTATATTTGAATCAAAATTCATTATTATTCCTCTCTCCACTTGCACTCTCCTATGAAGTCCCTCTATCCTCATGAATCTCTCTCCTCATGTAATGTTCAAATCCTAAGAAGCTCTTGAATTTCTTGATTATTGAGACCCTCCCACTTCCCTCTCTCACATATGAGACATGAATTTCATAGGTTCTTTGTCATAACTTTAATCCTAAGACTCCCAGATGTTTTCTTTTCTGAACTAAAACTATCTCTGCTTCCTTTCTCTAAAATATGTTTCTTCATGCACAATCCAATCCTCTCACATTTAAAAGGTGAATTCAAAGTGAATAAGCTTACAACCAATGTCAAATTGAAATATTTATGACTAGGATGAATGGGATCCTAAATAATGCAAGTTGCAAAGAGATTCAAAGTTTTCACATAAGTTTCTTAGAAAAGTTACTTGAGCTATGGTAACTATTTTATTGACGGATTTACCTAGGAGCTATTGATTTAACTAAGGGTGAACTATGGTGATGCAAGAGATTATGCTTACTGAACTAAAACTTTTAACCATACAATAGTAAGAAAGATAATGATTGACCTGGAGTATACTAACCATGGTGAAAGCCAATGCTTACAGTGGGAATAGAGATAATGTAATTAGACATCCATGATTAGTCCTACGTTGTCCTTCCTTGAAAGACCTTTCTCAAAGGCTTGCATGCTCTCACTGTCTCACACAAGTGCCATTTTCATAGTTAGAAAGCATAAAAAGATGGTCACATTCAATGCAAAAGAGCATTGCTAAATTTCAGTCATTCAAATATAGATCCATTAATGACACAAGATGGGGTATGTATAGTCATGACAAGGGAAACCCAGTAGTTATGAAGGTGTGGTTGGCCATGCATAGGGAAGGGGACGGTATTATGATTTTGTTGAATTTGATGAGGCATTGTAGGGTTCTTAAGGGGTTTGTCAGGTTCAAAGGTCATGAGACTTGATGGAGAGTTCAATCCAAAAGAGTTTGAATAAGGCAAAGAAGGGAAGATTTTTTTTTTTTTTTGTGGTGAATTGTCAAAGTCAATATTGATGTCAAGGTTGACTAATGATGTGGAGATCAAATGGTTCTCAAAGGATGTTAAAAAATGGCTAAAAGTGGGTAAAGTGGCCATGACCAGTCTTGTTCCACCATCACTATATACACAAGGCTCAACTGACTTGATAAGCCAGTACATACATGATAATGACCTAACAAATACATCACAAGACTTAGTATGTTATAATGTCTCATAACAATGAGGGTAAAAAGGTAAAAAAGTAAGAAAGAGCAAATATATCATATGAAGTATATAAGTTTTAGGCTCAATGATTATGTCTCTGACATCTTTGGTCATTAGTTTGAAAACGCTTTGCTTCACAAATTATGGGAAAAAGGAAGAACAGCAAGACTTAGTATGACTTAATGGCCCAACATAGAAGACAGAGAAAAAAAAAACTTTATAAAGAAAGAGAAAATATGTCATATGAAGTATGTAAGTGCTAGACTCAATGATTATGCCTCTGGTGTCTCTGGTCATTAGTTTTGAAGATGCCTTGCTTCACAAATTATGGGAAAAAGAGAGAAGAATATTAAGAAACATGATCATTAACATGATCCCATCATAAAATTGACTTCAATAATGATCAATCTTCTAAAATAAAAAAAGAAACCCCTACCCATAACCTTTACCCTAGCCTTGAGCTCTATGAATTCATTCGTATATTATCATGAAATCACTAAGGAAAATAAAATTGAGATCATAATGGTATTAGGTTGCCTGTGGAGCTACAAATTCTTCTAACCTTATTGGAAATTACTGTTAAAAATTTATGTAGATGTTGCATTAGTCTTATTAGCATCTATTAAAATATTATTATTGATTTGGTTTAGATTTGGGTGAAGTTGCTTCTTTTGAGCATAAATCATATATTACTCTAAGTATTATTGAAAAAGTATGTCATATGACGAATGGAAGGATTATTGTTTAAGTTAGTAAATGATTTTGTTAAGGGATAAATTTCATGATTGCACTTGTAATGATATTATTATTATTTTTCTTATCATGATAACTATATTGGTGCTTATGATTACAACTTGTTGTATTGCAATTCCAAGTACCTTTTAAATCATTATTTGTCTCATTGGATATCATAAATCATCTTCTAAGAATACCAATTTTGATGCCTCCAAATTTTACTTATATTCCTATAAGGATTATTGTTTAAGTTAATAAATGATTTTGTTTAGGGATTGCTTTCATGATTGCACTTGTGATGATATTATTTTTTTTCTTATCATGGTAACTATATTGGGGCTTATGATTACAACTAGTCGTATTGCAATTCCACGTAGCATTTAAATCATTATTTGTTTCATGGATATCATAAATCATCTTCTAGGAATGCCATTTTTTGTGCTTCTAAATTTTACTTATATTCCTATAATTATCAAATGTCTCATGAAAAATACAAATATCATTATTAGTATAAAACACGCTGGTCATACATGATTATCCTACCAATCTATATCAAGAATTATCTTAATATGATGATATATTATATCATACACTAATTTCTCAATCTCTAAATGTTCAAAATACGTGTTATTGTTAGAAGTTTAGGTACTTCTGACTCTCCACTAATTTAAAAACTTGATCTTAGTGCTTAATTTGTCTATGATGAACTATTAGATGATCTTATTTTTGTAGATGGGTTTTGTGATGGTGATTATTCATCAATAATTAAGTCTTTTGTTAAGCTTGATTTTGGGGTTGTGCTTAGGACTTTCCAAATCTTAAAATTGAGATGTGCTGAAGCCAATTTTTGAGATTAAGATTTTTTTCTATTACAACCTATGATGCATCGACACACCTCTTGAAGAGAGAATGCAGTGTCAGACACATACACGTGCTCGACACGGCTGGGACATAGAGTTGGTCATGGACACGTGACCGACACGGCTAAGAAATGTATGATGCATGGGATTGTTCAGAAATGAAGCCTATTTATTCTACTTTCTATGTTTTTCTTGCATATGTTGATGATACAAGAGATGTTTATGAACTAGTTTTGCCACCTCATCCTGGCGACCCTACTTGGAAGAAAGGGTTGGTGCATGTTCTTAAGAAGAAGAGTTGCTATAGCTACTAGGAAGTTGATCAGTAGAAGACACGCATTAAGATTATTCTAGATTATTTGTAGACTATTGCAACATTTAAGATTCTTATTTCACTTTTAATTGATTTGATTTTAAAGATTATCTTTTTAAATTAAATGATAGGATTTTTTGGGCTTATTTAATTTTTATTTTAAACCAATTAGTTTTTAAATGTAATCTTCTTTTTAAGTAAGGATTTAAATGCTTTTATATATTAAATTACATTTGAATCTACATTCTTTCTTTTTAAACCTCCATTTTCTCTACTTTGTTTGCCACATGACACCCTCTCTCGTCTATATGGTTCTCTGTCAAGTGTTTTGCAGATCTTGATAAGCTCCTCAGTAGAGTCTCTATTCTAGAGACACCCTCATGTCTCCCTCTCTTATCATGATTGGTATGCATCTTAAGACAAGAACTTCATGACTTTTCTTTCTCCTATTATGTTGTACCTCAAGGCTCTTTCCCATTGTTCTATTTTTATCCGAGGCTCTCCCATTTTTTCTATTTTTAATCAGCACTCCCTCTCTTTCTATCTCTAGAATCTTTTTCTATAAGCACAATTATGAGGAATTTGATGGACCGACCGATTTGATTGGGAAGAAATTAGGAAGTTTCCTAATCAAGAACGAACTGTTTAAGAAAGTTCTTAGTCACGGGGATTAATTAGGAGATGTTGTTCTAATTGAAGAGGGCATATTTGGGGGCTAATTTGGAGGGGATTAATTAGGAAATGTTTTCTAATTGAAGAGGACAAATTTGGAGGTTGATTTGAGGGTTGATTTGAGAGGAAAATAATTAAGAAAATAGGAGGAAATTGGGGGAGGGCTGTTTGGGTATTCGTTGTTTATTATTTGCTTTAAGTAGGTATTTTTCCTAAGATTAGGGCATGCGTCGTTTGCTAAATTTAAATTGTTCTTAGGGTGTTTGGGCTTTAGTCGATGGCTAGAGATTTGAGAGAGCCGAATCTTCCTCTCGATTGAAGATCCACTTGCATCTTGTCTTTTCTTTCATAAAACTTTCGATTAAGTGTTCTTGTGTGTTATATTCCTAGTTTTTTATCATTGGTTTTCTGACATTGTTGAAATTAGATTTTAGCCAAGTCTTTTCTTAAATTTCTGCAAGCGCTTCCTATCAAATTGGTAGCAGAGTAGTTTCCTGGGCTAAAATATAAGTCTTCCTCGCTGATTTCTGCTACGTTTTTCTCTATGATATGTTTTTTGCTGTTTGGAGGCCAGATTCACATCAAATTTGCTGTTTTTTTTATGTTGGAGCTTAGATTTTAGTACCTATGGCGAGAAGGAAGGTTGAAGTGTTGGATGGGGGAAATTGGACAATTGAAATCTGAAATTTCAGATCTCCAAACTAAAATTTCTAATATAAAAAGTCAAATGTCTGTCGTCCATGAGAAGATTGATGGAAAATTTTCCATCCTAAAGAAGTTCCTCGAGGGCCAACCCAAGAGGGAGGATGGGGAGTTGAAAATGTTAGGGGAAAAAGAGTAGATGTTACTTTTAGAGCCACTTCCAAGGAGGGGGAAGTTGTGGGTTTTTTGGTGGAGCTGCAGAGTTTGGAAGGAAAATAAGATGGAGAGAAGATACCATACATGGTTCAACCATTCCTACCGCAGTATCGAGAGGTGTTCCTGCCAGTTTAGGGGTTGCTTCATCCACGAGAATATGAGCATGCTATCATTTTGAAGGAAGGAGTTTCACATATCAATGTTTGTTCGTACTGTTCTCCTCAATTCAATAAGGATGAGATTGAAAGATTGATCAAGGAGATGCTGGAGGCATGGATCATTCAACCTAGGGACAGTTCATTTTTCAGTCCAGTGCTAGAAGAAATGTTAATTCATGACAAATCGTAAAGATAAATCATGGATTTCTAAAAGACCCTCTATATGACATCTAAAATCCAATTTTAGAGAACCGTAGAATCAACTAGCTTACAACAAACATGATCTGCTACAATGCGCATATCATATTTGTTGGGGGGCATTTGTTGACCTGTAACTGTCGCTCCAACCGACTGAAGCCCCAAACGATACAACCGCTCACCCACCGCCTCACTCACGACATAAAATTCCTCTCTCATTCGATTGAGACACGCAGAAACGCACAAAAAAAAAAGAGGCACACTCAGGCACTCAGAAACGCATAGAGAAGGAAGGAAAGTTCAGAAATACCTCGAGGGCTCCCGCTAAACTCTGAACCATTTGTCGGCCTCCGATTCCCGCTCTTGCAACTTCAAACCCATAGGCGAACGAACAGAAGTCGTCGAACCCGCCGCCGGCCTCCAATCTCTACCAGAACTCAGATTAAAAAGTCCTCACTAAATGAGGGCGAAATCTCTGGGTAGTGTCTTATCTACAAACCCAATCTGCCTTCTGAAAATTCCCCCGGGATCACACACATCCCAAAAATTGGAATTTTTCGGAGCCCACAGGAGGGAATTATGAAGTTTCCCAATCAAGAGGAATCTGTTTAGGAAGGTTCTTAATCAAAGGGGATTAATTAGGAGATGTTTTCTAATTTAATAGGGCATATTTGGGGGCTGATTTGGAGGAGAGATTGATTAGGAAATGTTTCCTAATTAAAGAGGGCAGATTTGGGGATGCTTTGGGAGGGAAATAATTAAGAAATCGGAGGGAATTGGGGGAGGGCTGTTTGGATATTCCCTGTTTATTGTTTGCTTTTAGTAAGTGAATTTCCTAGGGTTAGGGTTATGTGTTGTTTGCTAAATTTAGATTGTTCTTAGGATGTTTGGGCTCTAGCCGGCGGCTAGAGATTTGAGAGAGCTTGATCTTCCTCTCCAATTGAAGATCCACTTGTATCTTGTCTTTTCTTTCATATAACTTTCAATAAAAAGTATTCTTGTGTGTTATTCTTGATTTTCTTGTCATTTGTTTTCTGACATTTGCTGAAATTAGATTTCAGCCAAGGCTTTTCCTACAAGCACTTCCTTTCAAAATTCAAAGAGAAGCAGTGTACAATAAAAAGCCAAATTTGAGGGGAAAAAAATAAGAAATCAAATGGTGAAGGCTATGACTTAGGCTCAAAAAGGGATTAAGATATGTTTTGATTGAAATGTTTTTAAATTTCAGTCCCAAGATAGAAACCCGGATTTTTAAAAGCAAGATGCAGGAATTTTTTATCCTACATATATTTTATTTGTACTTGAGGCACATCGACGGGACATACTGCATATTCTATGTAAGATCCTATAGATAGAGACTGATGATTGTGAATACTAAGAAAATTTCTGACTAATGTATGATTGCGATGCATCTTTCTCTCAACTTGATCGGAACATATGATCAATACAGAGTTTTATAAGCATTTTTAATGGAAGTACCCTACCTTTTAATGCTGGAAACTTGGAACTGGGAAAGACAATTATTGATCAAGCAGTAAATGCCATAGCTTCCATTCAGATGAGTTATCATTTAAACATGCTCCATTCATTGAGGGCTGCAAATGAACCAAGTCGAGCTTAGTATGTGCGTGTTCATGTTTGAGTTTGTTTATTATCAGCTTGTTCAAGTTTGGTTTGTGTTTGATTTGAGCTTTTTTGTTTGTGTTCAAGTTTGATTCTTTTAAATTAATGGATGTTCATGTTTGGTTCACGTTCGATTCATTTCGTGCTTATCGAGCTTTAAACAAATGAGTCATATCGATCTATAAACAAGCTCTACTTCTACATGTAGTCATGTACATTAACTTAACAAATGAGCCTTATCGAGACTTCTAACAAATAATTACATCGAGCTTGTTCGTGAATATATCCAGCTAAATTTTTTAAACTATCAAACAAGCTCGTTCACTAATATATCTAATGAGTATTCATAAGCTATCAAATGAGCCCATTCATGAACATATCTAATTAATGTTTTCGAGTTACCAAATGAGTTGTTCACGAACAAACTATCTATGATTCATCTTATATTTATTCAGAAAGCAGGTTGTTCGTGATTTTAGGTGGATGCAGGAAGTAAAAATAAATTATTAAACAATTTTAGTGGAATTAGTATAAAAAAAATAAATTAATAATATATATTTTTAAAAACTCTAATATAGTTCTAATCAAACTTCTTAATGAGCTTGTTCATGAGCGTTAAACGATATTGTTCATGAACATAAATGAACAGAATGCCAAGTTGTTCAAGCTCATTTATTTATTTATCAAAAGTGTTCAAGCTCGTTCGTTTAACTTATTAAACGAACATAAACAAGTACTTATCGAGCCGAGCCTTGAGTAGCTCGTTTAACGCTCAGTTCATTTGCATCCCTAGTGTTGCATGATCATTTATGAAAGAAGAGCGGATTAAGGTTGATCGGAGCTTGGTGGTGTTATGTTTTCATGAATGTATTTGTTCCTGTGACTTTTTGACTTGCCTTTGTATTAGGTAATCAACCTGTATTTTCTAATTTGAACTTATGAAGTATAGTTTCATACACATGTTATCTTGCTCCAAATTCATGTAATTAGGCCAAATAATGCGCTGAATGTAAAACTTATTTGCATTCTTTATTTTTTTGTTCAGCCTAAAACGCTCAAGGAAGTTTCAACCTGAAGATAGGATATTTTCTCTGTCATCAGCTACCTCCCCAGCTGTAAGTGCATCAACCACTAAATACTAATAGGACTAATTTCAACATTTTATTTTCTTTTCCAAGATTATAATGATGCGGGATAAACATGAATGAACGAGAAGTTGAGAATATGAAAAATAAAAGCTGTATAAAATCTAAAGAGGAAAGAGTATGGACTAGAAAGTACAACATATACAAGCTTTACACTTGTATAAATAGAATATCTTTCTCAAAAAATTTCAACTTTTGCACTTGATCGATGGTCGAATTCTAAAGAGTATATAAAGAAGAAATATCTTCATCAGCACTATATCATAAAGGTCTCGTAGAACTATAGTGTGCAGTGCATGACATAACGTGCATTATTTATAATTGCAATGCTTGTCAAGACCCGACTTCAAAACTTTGTATATCAAAATGAGAACAGACGATTGAATGAACTTTTCATATCACATCTACTAACTCCGAAGTCAATGTCGAAGTAAAAATTAATAGTCATTCTTAAAATAGCATCATCAATACAATGAAAGAGATGCAATACAACGAAAGAGTCGCTACTACATAAAGTTTATTCTAAACCGACAATACAACAATTCTACTATTGTTTTTCAATCATTTAGATAATTTAAATATGAATCTTTTATAGCACCACATCTACGATGCATAGATACTCTTCTCCTGCTCATTTAGTTTTAAATATCTCATCTTGAAAATAGTAATTAAATTGGTAAGTTATCAATATAACTTAAGTGGATATCTTATCTCCAAGTTATTGTAATATAAAAGAAATTAGAAAACAACATGTATGCTTGTCATAATAGATAAACCAGTATAAAATCATTTGATAGTTAATTCTATGCAAAGATGATAATGCAGGAGATTTTGAAGCATTTTTTTATGTATTAACAACATAAATAAGAGATAACCATACGATATCTCATCTTATTTGTCTCATTTTATATAGTAATTCCATCAAAGGAGCACTGTCTAAATTATATCATTTAAGACACTTCAATATTAATATTCTTTTATAATTTTACATGCTTGTATATTATTCCAACCCAAATATCTTATTCTTTCTTTCCCAAATTCTTTCTCTCCATTTTTGAATCTCTTCCTTTGCCCTTAATGAAACACCCTCATTGTTTAGATGAAGAAATATGAAATGGTTTATATAGAACTAGAAAAAAATCAACAAACCTTTTTTTAATTTTTTTTTCTCTCAGCCATTCCCCTTCAATAGAAACTCTCCCTCTCGTGATTTCTTCTACTGGAACGAATGAAACGGGCTTTCTCTCAAGAGTAGTTAATTTACTCCTACAAACGTGATCCTTCGCTCAGAATCGCAAACCGCCTCTTCTAGGCTCGTCCGTGCTTGCGTTCGGCTCACCCAGATTGCAGTTTGTTCGCCTACTTCATTTCGTTAAATCAGGTTTTTAATAGAAGCTTTCCGGTTCAATTGAACCGGCTCAGCTAAACCGGTCTTTACACGTATCATTCAATATCTTTTTATAATAATTAGTGTATTATTTGAACATAACAAGAGACCTATAACATTCATTTCAACATGATCAATATATTTAGAATAAGATAAATCATAAGTAATGTGCAATAATATTTGAATGGACTAATATCAATATCAGTTGATGAATTTGAATTTGAGGAAATAATATTGTCATTATAATTTTGAAATAAGAGCACCCACCTTAATTGCAGAAGTTTTGATTTTCCACGTTAATTTTTTTGTCTTTGTTATTTTGATGCCTATAAGAGCATTTAAGACATTCATATTAATTAATTATATAAATATATTTATTTTTACTATATATGAATCACCTTATTTAGTAATATCTTTCTTTCATTTAATTATAAAAAGTATTCCTAGTTATTTTTTATTTTTATTCAAATATATATGATAATTAATATTTGCAAACCCTAAATTTTATAGTTAACATATCATTTTAATTAAAATATTAACCTTTCAACTTTTATTTCAAATGTACATATTATAACGTTAGATCTTTATTTACTTTGCTCTTTTAAATTCTATCTAAATTGCAACTTTATTATTTTTTAAATTTATTTTATAGCTTAAGGACAGAACTTTAGATTAAATGCTTCTTAATAGTTTCTCATTAAATTTTATTTTTTCAAATAATGTGTTAAACTTATATATAAATACATGATAATAATTTAACTTTCAATGTGTTTGAATGAAAATATGATGTTTTGCACATAGCGTTTCTATCTCCCTTTGAACCATAAGCAGATAAATTAGGCATCAGCTCTTCACTAACCTCGCCACCCCCACCGCCACACCCCCGCTAACTGACCCACCCCCACACACACAAAGGCCGAACTCTGAAATTCTGTTGTTGTTTCTTAAAAATTTTCTTTATTAAAAAATGACTTCAGAAAACTTGTCTCCTAGATGAATAAATGTGCATGGATTTTCTCCTTCCACCTAACAGATTTGTTTCAACTTCAACGATTACATTGTTGACAATTGATGCAATTAGCTTCCATTTTTTAGAATAGAGATCCCTTTTCCAGGCTGCTTATTTGTTTCAAGAGGTTCTACAAAAGGACTCTTCCATGGATGCACACTACAAATAGTACTGTTTGCTCCCATTTCTCTAAGGCCCTTCATCTCTTTTACCTCACGGTTGATTTTCCATCTCTTTTCTTCTTTAGGCTAGTTTTTATTTTTTTGGCTTTACAGTAGAAGAACCTCTAGTCATTTTCTTCCTTCGTAGCACTTTCAACTTTTAGTGTCATTTTTTATTGATTTTATCATGCTTATTTTTTTTCTCGTCCTAAGTTGCCTTATTTCAATTGGCAATGGCAGTATTGTTGTCATTTTAGGATAAATTTAACCATTCCTTCTTATCTTTTAGGATTCTCTATTATAAATGGTGGTCTGAAGGCCTTGTAATAGCTAAATGATGTTTTGTATGGTAGGCTGTGTTCTATCTTCCCTCAAAATTTTCAAGGCTTCCACAATAGTTCCATTGAGACCGTATCATGTCAATATATATTCTAAATTCTCGGGTTCTTCTTTCAAATTTATGTTAGACCAAGCCAGCTCTGGGTCAAATTTCCTTGAAATTACTGATTTTAATGCCGTTTGTATTATTTTGTGTCTACTAGTCGCGAAATTGTTTTCCAATTTGTCATGGATAATATCTAAATATCACTTATCTCTGCTTTATTTTCCAGGTTGAAGAGCACATATCTGGACGAGATGGTGAGGCTTTCCGTAGTTACAGTATGTTGATTCTTTAGTATCTAAATGCATCTATTTTATATATAGCCGAAGGAAGGTCCGATTATGCACCTGGTCGATTAAAAGCTGGAAGTAACCCTGCGAATGGACAGTAAGTAGCTAATTCTTTTCATCATTTAATATAAAATAGATAATACTGAGCTACAGTAATATTGAACCCTTTTCTATTCCCAAGTGCAGTTTATGAAGATTTTGGAAAGTACTTATCTGAGTTCATTTGAACTTCTAACTGATTAGAAATTTTTGTAAAGAGATCGAATAGATGCAATTGTCCCTTCCCCAGGGGCTCTAGAGGCAGATTAGGTGGCCCCATCGCCGTACAGATGTTAAAAAAAGTGTCTAAATTAGTCATAGTGATAACAGAAGCTCAGTTTTTAACTAAAATCGTAAAATGAACGGGAACGGGAGACTCCTGCAATGGTTGCTTGGTAAATTTAAAACCACTTGAGACAAGAATAACAAAATCTAGCATAGTGTGATTATTACCCTTATTTTTTATGCTTAAATCTATTGTTTTCACTTTAAAAACTCTGGAAATAGATAATTTCTGGGGTGTATATTTACTCATCCTTATGTGCACCTCAAAGTCACTTGGTCTCAATAGCTGGAGAGGGGAAAAAGTAGTTTCTTTGTTTAGGCTTTAATGGTTATTTGCTCCCTTGTCTAGTCAAACTTGTGGGAATGAACAAAATTCAATTTTTTTGAAATAGGTTTAATTATTTTACCTGTGCAAAGGTGGAAAAAATGACTTTTTTTGTCCTGCCATTTATGCCAATAACTTTGGTCAAACACACAGACACATATGTAAATCAACACAAAAAAATGTAAATCAACACCTTGAAGTATATCACAGGTCATTCATGAGTAAATTTTAGTGGGATAAGTATATTCTGATCATTTTAATTTACTGATTTGATGACAAATAAAATTAAAGGGCCATTTGGTCTGTTAAAAAAAGAATGCAGAGTAAAATACAATTCAGTGTGAATGAATGCAACTTATTTAGATATTTGGAGTTGTTTTGATGAGTTTAAAATAAATACAATTGGTTATTTTTTTGTTTGGTTTGAAGTAAAATGAATGTGATGTAAAAGCACAAAGATGATGGTGGTCAGTAGGGGCGACAAACAGCAAGTGGCGGCGGCGGTGGCCCGTGTTGGTTGGTGGCAACCAACGGTGCCTTGTGGTGGCAACCAACGGTGCCTTGTGGTGGCAACAATAGAAAATTTATGGTGTATTTAGAAATCTGTCAACTATGACGCTTTTTGAATACATCAAAATTGAACTAAAGAGTAATTTTCAAGTACTTCAAAAATTTGTTTTGCATTTCTTTTATTTCAAATCAAATGTCAATATTTTCAAAATTCTTATATTTGAAATATTTTACACCCCTTCAAATCAAACAATCCCTTACTGACAAGCATGGGATTGTTAAATACATATGATGGCATCAAGACCATATCTTATGCATCATTCTTATCATCAGAGGGAAGCCAAAGAAAGGTGGCAGGATTTCATTAAGAGAAGGAAAAAGAATTCGGCCATCCAATGAGCAAGAAATTGAAGATGAAGATGATGCTGATCTAAGCTTGAGATGAGGTTTGCTGTAATCTGACCATGAATGTGAGGACAAATCCGTTTGATTTCTAAGTTTTCCGGTCATTAGAGATGAATGCATAATTAATTTTATTTCTGAATTTGTACGAGGGATAGTTGACTTAGTAAACTTGTATAATGACACATGAAACTGTATGATTGCGTAAATCTTTGTTTATTCAGATATGAATTAAGGTCAGAAACATCCATATCTGTAACTTCTATTTACTGTTGCGCATTAGTGTTAGCTGTTGCAGCATTATCTTTTTAAGGGCTTATTAAACCATTTTCCATTTACCAGATGAATCTATGGAACTGTAATGACTTAGTTTTCACTGGGTGTTATCATATTAGCTAGTGTGGATTTATTATTGTTGCTGCTAGTTAATATATTGAGTATTGTTGCTCTAGTAGCTCATTGGCAACCATTTCATGTTGCCAGTCAATTAGTTGGAAGAACCGATTTAATAGCAATACACAATTGTATAATTATATTTTACTTGGAGATATTGCATTTTATTGTAAGCATGCAGGTTTAGGGATGGCCCATACATATTTCTTCATTACTGTAACTTAAATATAAGGTATGGCCCATCCTAACACTTATTCTTTTTCTATATGGATATCCTTCTTCTTCACTGCGATTGACTATCTTTTCAACCGGTCTTTTAAATGCTCCTTTTTTTTAGAAAAAAAAAAAATCTTAATCTAAACACTTTATAGATAGATATTCAATACAGCATTCAACTGATAAACCACAATATAATGTAGAAATTCTTCCTTAAATAAAGAATAAATTTTAATCTAGCGGCATTTGTCAGGTTACAGTAAAGATCATCATGCTTGTAGAAAGTAATTAGTAGAGCTTGTAGGTTTAAGAATATCATGTCATACAGCTCTTTATCACTTTCCTCCTACTTTGCACGGTTCATTTACCCAAATAATATTATCATGTAAGCATCCTTCATTAATCATAATACCATATATTCTATCAAATTCTCTCTAAAAACCAAATTTTACTTTAACGAACCAAAAACTCTCCAATTTTTTTATTTTCATGTAACCTGCACAGATCAATGCATAATCGCCATATAAAAAAAAAAATGATAAATATTGCAGTCAATGATTGCTATAAAATGGGATAACAAAAGCTTTTAGGGTTTGGCACAATTTTGTTCAAATCATAACATTTCATTCTTCAATAACATTACAAAAACCCTAAACAAATCACACGATGTGAAATTATGGCTTGCCGAATAATGCACTTTGAGATCCATGCCCTATCATGTGCTACACCAGGAGAAAGAAATTGTTTTCTTGCTGTTTCATTTCTATATGCTAGGGAATAAACGCTGGTAATGCATATAGATGATCACGGCCACATGTGACAGATGAAATATAAAGAATATAGGAGTGAGCAAAGATCCCACCCAGCATGATATCAAAATTGATATCATTGAACAGTAAAACAGATTCATTTCCATAAATGAAAAAGATTTCCTTCTCAGAAGAAACCCTGAAAATTCTACATACCCAGCATAGGTTCCTCCTCCATGGTCACCTGCCCGAGTTGGACTAGAACTTGAACTGATGTTTTTGCATACCCCAAATGGGGCGCCAGGCTGCAAAAGTCATACACTGAATATGATGATTTATTTAAACAATGAGAATATTTCTAATAATAATAATAATAATAATAATACCCGCATTAAATTTTATTGGAATTTAAATTTATATACATTTCCAAAGTTCTAAAATCTTGATAAATTGATTATTTAAAAAATTAATTAAAATAATTAGATTTTCCTCATGTATAATCTATTATTTATTACTATCTACTTCAGCTTTGATAACCTTCATGCTCTCTTCAACCTATCAATGAATTTGCTCCAACTATTTTCTATTATTAGTATTTTTTTTAACATTCACTGCCTTCATCTTGAAGATGTACTACTATAAAATTCAACTTATTGTACCTATATATTTAACCAAGTTGTTTCCAAGGCGAGGAGCTAGCTTCTTTAGCTCTTGATGCACATTCATTTCACACCATCTCATGCTTAAGATATCATCATAAAAAACATGAAATCAACTTCTAAATTTAAAATATTAGCACTCATCTTTTAATTCTAGGAAATACGCTACTCTCATTGCCTGGCTTTTTGATACGAGACACTTGCTTATGCATGCCTTCAAAATAAGGCCCCTCACCTGGGAGATATGCAAGGCGTTATGGCCTCATCTAGCCTTGTTCGCACACCTAATAGTCTCTACCTTTTCTTTACCAATACAAAATCTAACACATATTTATTGAAAACTCACAAGCAAAAATAAGATACATTGGGCATATGCGTGTGGGCTCCAAAGGGCTTATGGTTCATGTGAACTAAAAAAGAGTATATTTAGGAAACAAATTAATGTAACCAAATTTCCTTGATGTTTTGGGTTTTATTTCAATCCGAAATCATTACTTCATATGGGCACAAGCCCCCATGCTCAAACACCTCTCCCATTTAGAAAAGTTTTTCTAATTAAGAACATTGTCAGACCCGATTTGTTTGGTAGGCAACCCCTCTTGTTCCAATTATTATGCTGCAAAAAAGAGTGGGTTATGGTGATGGTGAGCACTTGCCAATCTCTAACAAATCCATCATCCATAACATCATTGGATGAAACTTTGTTCATATTTAGAGAACCTTCAATAGGATTTGTTGGTTTCCATGTCATTGAGTTTTATGTTATAGTCATGGGCAAAGGAAGGTTTTTACAACCATTTGTACTATGTCGATGAGTTAATTATGGTTTTTCATGCAAGTCTTTGGACTTCGGTTGTGATTCTTAGGTTTCTTGTTAGCAATTATAGTTACCTCATCCTAGGAGGTTCCATAAAGATTAAGAATGGTGACATCCTAAAGGTAGTATAACTCTCCGTGATTAAGCACCGAGTTGTTCGATTAGCATAGGACTTGTGATGATGAGAGAATTGTGTGGCTTTGAGGCATGCAATAAAGATAGCTACAGCTCAGAAGTATTGAACTTAGAAAGACAACAACTTAGAAACCTATCATCGCCATTATATTTCTATGAGAATTGGCATAGGCTTATCATAAGATGGGAATAACACCCAAAAAAAAAAATCAGCATTACCATCAAGGATGCATCATTGAAACAAAATTCCCAGCTCGAGGGCTAGAGCCTGTGCTACGAGGATTAGACGACATAATTGATGTGCCTTTACAAATTCAAATGCTTGTTAATAAACACTATCCTATATAAAAGAAAGTCTTGTTTATAACTAAAAATTCTCTACTTGAATTGAAATTAAGTTGTGGGCTTTGAAAATTTGCGCCCCGGCCTCTCAACGGATCCCTTTCTTTTCTTTTTCTTCTGGTCATCGATGAGAGTTTTAACGCTTAAATTACGAGGTAAATTTTCAGAAGGTAGATTGAGCTTTGAATATGTATTACCATGAGATTTCACCCTCATTTTGCGAGGACTTTATGATATGAGTTCAAGTTTCTTATAGGCGCAAGCCTATATAGTTAATTACCCCTCTCGATAGCGGAGAGAGAACTTTCAATTAAGGCTGGTCATCAAATAGATATGTGGTACCTGGTGTATAGCAACAACATGGGTTTAATTTTTTAGACTTAATATTTAAAATTGGAACTTTCATCCTCTTGCACTTAAAGCGGATGGTGGGGGAATGGATGATGGACCTGATCAAGATCCCATGGTTTCGTCGTCCCGGGTCATCATGGTCCTTGATCTACTTAGTCAGAGAAGGTAGTCAACCCAACCTGGCAGAAGGATCCTTGTCGACATCCATGGGTTACTTCATCCAAGGGTACCTTGTAGACCTGAGGTGAATATTTGCTTAAGGGGACAAATTTGAATTCACCTTAGCTAACAGAGGGCTTGATGCCCAATCGATCATATCCTATTGATTAATATATGTTGACTAATAAAAATGACGAACAAAATAATGAAAATAGTCCGCCTCCACCTCCTCGCTTTTGTCGTTCGTCGTCGTTTGTTCAAACACAAAAGCCCGAGACTGTGCCGTTCTACTCTGTAGAACAAAGTATTAGAAGAGTGTAAAAAGAAACACAACAATGCTAAAGTAAAGTAGCGAACTACTACAGTAAGAAATAGCTATCAGCACAAAACAACGAACATACTACTGAAAAAACTAGGGTAGAAAACAACCGCTGTCAAGTGTCAAAACCAGAAACTAGTGTCAAACCTCTTAAACAACTAGCATCAACTCAAATAATCAAACAATCCAATTCAAATTCATGGGCAACCTAGTCTATAGGATTAGGTTGTAAGACTAGCAGACGGGTAACTTCTAAGGGAAACAATAAGCCCCGTATTTTAGAAAAAATGCTATAAATTACAATGATCCTAAATCCCAAATAATCCAATTCAAATCAATGGACATCTTAATTTAAATGATTAAGTTGTAAGATACGCTTTTCAAGCAACTTCTTAAGAGAAGTTATAAGACCTGCCCAAATAATTAAAACATTTGGGCAGCCTTGCTGTAGAGTTAGGTTGTAAGACCCATCTTTTGATAACTCATAAATAGAGTCGTAAGCCCCAATCCAAATTAAACCTACGGGCAACATTCAATGAAAACCGTAAATCCCAACCCAAATTCTAACACTTAGGCTACTTTTAAAAATAGTCGTAAGATCCACTTAAATTCAAATTTATGTATAACTTGTAAACAAAGTTATAAATCTCAAACTAAATTAACTTTTGGATATTCTAATAAATGTAACCCAAATAAAATTAAAACTAAAAAAATCCACATCTAATCATCTTAGCCTACTCGGGGTCCCTGAGAGGAGATAACTCATGGTTGCTAATTAGATTCCCTAGAGTCTACAGTCAATGATTGTTAGTGTTAGTAGGCTGAAACCTACGGTATATCCGGAACGACGTAACCATGAGATCTTGATCGAGTTTACCTTCATTTTTCCCACAATTGAGACTAAAACATCTAAAAATTAATCATTTTTAATTGAGAGTTCTCTGTAACATGTTAAGCGGGGTAATTAACTTGAGTGCTTGCACTCATGGAAAGTAAAGACTCCAGATCTTTAAAACTTGACATTACCCTCAGGAGAAATCTGATTAACTACAATCTGACTTAAGGGAAATATAATCCTACAATTGCAAAGCGGGATTCATGCATTCATGCCGTTTTTCTTGAGCCAACAGATTTCTGGCGACTCCGCTGGAGACTACTTTTCTCTCCATCTTTGAATTAAAAGAGAATTTATAATTAGTCTCAAATAATAAAACATCTAAAAAATATCTAGATGTTTATTCATCACAAGCTTATATTTTCTTTTTTAGTAGAATTTAGGTTGACTCTAATCCCTGCAAGTTCTGTTGACAGGTTGATAATATGACACCTGTGAAGTTCTTCATGACTGTGAACCTAGGCAAGAGAATTAGAGTGCAGTTCCCTCAAGCCCATTCTGAACACAGGCTAGGACGGAGCGACCATTCAATTAGGAACCATTTCTGAAGTCATACAATTCTAACAACTCCTTCCTGAAAATATTGTTAACATACCTATTGTTAGAGGTGTCGCTAAGAAGCCTACTACTAAAGATGTCGATGTGAAGGCTCCCAAGAGGGCCTCTGTACTTTTAAGGCTCTCTATAGCACCTGCTGCTGCTCTAGTAATGCAAAGAAAAACTCCTTGTCCTAAGCTGCAATTTGTTGCTGTTAATATAGCCAGTCAGAACATAATCCAAGATGAAGTGTGTGAAGAGTACAATACTGAAGTTCCTGTTGCAAACACAAATCTTTCTAAGAAAGTCAGAAGGCCAAAACTCGCTTACGAGCTAATAGCTAGATGCCCTATACACTTCAAGGATCATCGCCGCAGTTAGAGACAAATATACCTACCAATAATGGTTTTGAACCATTAAAGTGGGTAAAGAGAAATAATCAAAGTCTTTTTAGGAGACTTCATGTCAGCAGTTACAACCGCCAAGGAAAAATCTGTCTCTTCCAAGATATACAAGATACTAAAGGCTGTCAAAGATCGAAATTTGCAACGAAAATCGAAATTTGCAACGAAGGTTAAGAAAATAGTCCGCCTCCACCTCCTCGCTTTTGTCGTTCGTTCGTTCAAACACAGAAGCCCGAGACTGTGCCGTTCTACTCTGTAGAACAAAGTATTAGAAGCGTGTAAACAGAAACACAACAGTGCTAAAGTAAAGTAGCGAACTACTGCATTAAGAAATAGCTATAAGCACAAAATAGCGAATATACTACTGAAACAACTAGGGTAGAAAACAACCGCTATCAAGTGTCAAAACTAGAAACTAGTGTCAAACCTCTTAAACAACTGGCTTCCACTCAAACAATCAAACAATCCAATTCAAATTCATGGGCAACCTAGTCTATAGGATTAGGTTGTAAGACCAGCCGACGGGCAACTTCTAAGGGAAGCAATAAGCCCCATATTTTAGAAAAATTGCTATAAATTGCAATGATCCTAAATCCCAAATAATCCAATTCAAATCAATGGACATCTTAATTTAAATGATTAAGTTGTAAGATACGCTTTTCAAGCAACTTTTTAAGAGAAGTTATA